GGCGTGAGCCACCATGCCTGGCCCAAAATGATCACTTTTGAGGGCTGCGTGATAGTTCATTCAATGCATTTGCCCTATGTTACATAACCATTTCCTCTGTTAATCATTTAGCCTACTTTGTTAAAAATTTTTAAATTACAGATAATCAGCCATGCTCAGTGGCTCAAGCTTGCAATCCCAGCACTTTGGGAGGCTGAGGTGAGAGGTTTGTCTGAGGCCAGGGATTTGAGACTAGCCTGAGCAACTTGGTGAGTCATCTCCATAAAAATCAAAAAATTAGCCAGGCATAGTAGTGTGTGCCTGTGATTCCAGCTACTTGGAAGGCTGAGGCAGAAAGATTGTCTGAACCCAGCAGGTTGAGGCTGCAGTGGCTGTGTTTGTGCCACTGCACTCCAGCCTGGGTGATAGAGTGATGCTCCAACTCAAAAATAAATAAATAGGCCGGGCTCGGTGGCTCAGCCTGTAATCCTGCGCTTTGAGAGGCCGAGGTGAGTGGATTGCCTGAGCCTGAGGGTTCGAGACCCACCTGGGCAACTTGGTGAGACCTCATCTCTACAATAAATCAAAAAATTAGCTGGGCGTGGTAGCGCGCACCTGTAATTCCAGCTACTAGGAAGGCTGAAGTGGAAGGATCGCCAGAGCCCAGCAGGTCGAGGCTGCAGTGGCCAGGAGCAGCCACTGCACTCCAGTCTGGGCAACAGAGTGAGACTCCAACTCAAAAAACAAACAAACAAACAAACATAAGTAAATAAATAAATTAGTTAATTATAGATAATTCTATAGTGAATATCTTTGTGTTGATGGCTTTTTGTTTCTGTATTTTTTCAAAAGATGAATTCTCAGGAATGGCTTGACTAGGTGAAAGAGTAATAATGTCTTTTGAGACACATTCCTAAATTGTGTTCCAAAAAATTTGTGCAATTTACAATGCTAGCCAAAATGTAGTGTATTAGTTTCATCATAAATTGGACTGCATAGAGCATTAGCATTTTATTAATATTTTCTAATAACAGGGATAAAATAGTATTCAATTTTTAAAAATTTGTATGCATTTCAGTACTATTATGGTTGAACATTTTTAAAAAGTTTCTTTGTGTTTCTTTAATTGTGAATTGGTTATTCAGGTCCTTTGACTGTTTTTTTTTGAGTTGAAGTCTCACTCTGTCATCCAGGCTGGAGTGCAGTGGCAGGATCACGGCCACCACAGCCTTGACCTGCTGGGTTCAGGTGATCCTTCCGTCTCAGCCTTCCAAGTAGCTGGAACCACAGGCATGTGCCACCACACCTGGCTAACTTTTTGATTTATTATAGAGTTGAGGTCTTGCCAAATTGCCCGGGCTGATTTCAAACCCCTGAGCTCAGGCAATCTTCTTCCCAAGGTGCTGGGATTACAGGTGTGAGCCACCACACTCAGCAACCATTTATCTAGTAATGTCCTAATATCTTCCTTACCAGCTTGTTGGATCTTTTCCTATAATGGAGGTCAGGACGAACCTTTTGCCAATCACACTTTTAGTAAAAGTAATGTTTAAACTGATCTGAACAGGGCACAGTGGCTCACGCCTATAATCTAGCACTTTGGGAGACTGAGGCAAGAAGATTGCCTGAGCCCAGGGGTTCAAGACAAGCCTGGGCAATTTGGCAAGACCTTGTCTCTGCAATAAATAAAAAATTAGTTGTAGTTCCAGTTACTTGGAATGCTGAGGCAGAAGGATCGCCTGAGCCCAGCAAGTCGAGGCTGTGGTGGCTGTGAGTAGTGTGCCGTTGCACTCCAGCCTGGACGACAGGGTGAGACTCCGACTCAAGAAAAAAGAAAAAAGAAAATTAACTGAGAAAACTATTAAAATGAATTTGTGTTCCAGTTGTTTAAAAAAGAAGCATTTTGTATATGAATAATTATATTCTATTTTGCTAGTTTATTCATTTAAAAATTGCTATCTTGATTTAAAAAACGTTTTTAGAGTGAAGTATACCTGGATTGGATAGTACTTGTAGTGACAGATAAGGGTAAATGTTCTAGATCCTTGACCTGAGCACAAACTTTTCCCACCATCTAATCCAAAAATACCTCACTGATGGTATCTTTGGGCACTACACAGTGCAAGGGATGAGGACAAAGGGCTTATCCAAAGGGGAGAGAACCACCTCATCTTGGAGAAACCATAGAACATGTGTGAGGAATAGTGACTGTGGCCTCTAGAGCCCGAGCTCAGGGTGAGGTCACTTCTGTCTCCCCCATATTCCTCCAGCTGCTGACATTTTACCTCTTCAAAGACTGATTCAAAAGCTGTCTTCATTGTGGAATTTTCCTGAATCCCCACCTCTCCCCTATCCCCACCTTCATCTGAGGCTCCTGAGTTTCTCCCTCACTAGACCTGGAGGGTAGGGCTGGGTCTTAGTTATTTCTTTGTCCTCATAGTGCCTTTGTGGCACTGGATGAGGAAGGCTTGGAAAGCCTTCCTGGAATTGGATGGCCCTCAGAGGAAGTTTTGCATTAAGATAACTCTCTCAGTACTTAGGCAGCTTCCTAGTGTGAACGCTTGCATCATCACTTACTAGTTGGGCCTCAGCTTCCTCACAGGATTGTTGTGAAGATTAAATGGAGATTGGATAAAGTTGTTTTATAATCACTGAACATCAAGTATTCTTTGTATACTGGTCTCTGTTCCAGAAACAAAGGTATGAGATCATCTCTGGGCTTCAGGAATATCTTCTTAATGGCACACAGCAGGAGAAAAAGAGATATGTTTACTAGCAGTGGGAGAAGCAAGTGCTAGGTGGCTCTGAGTAGGGTAGGGCGACGCATGGGCAGGTCTTGGGGCTTCCCAAAGGAGCCAACATCTGAGCTGTGTCTTGATAGATGGCTAGAATTTCAACAGGTGGACATGGGTCAAAAGGGCATTTAGGCTGAAGGCATGGCATGAGCATAGGTGCAAAGGGGTAAAAAATGGGAAGTATTTGGGAACTGGCCAGCAGTCCTAGTTGGTTGACCCTCCAGGTCTCTGAGGCTGGAGGGAGTGGTGGGAAATAAAGCTGGAAAAAGGCAGTGGTGTGAGAGGAGAATGTAAGGGAGAACCAGGAGGTTTTAGAGCCAGGGTGAGCCCTGGTCAGACCCGCACCTGACACCTGAAGGAGAGGAACGTGAGAGAGAGGACTGGGAGCAACAAGTCGGCAGGTGAGGAAGCTGTTGTAAGAGTCTGGGCATGCTGGGCATGGTAGCTCACGCCTGTATTTCCAGCACTTTGGGATGTGGAACCAAGAGGATTGCCTGAGCCCATGGGTTCAAGACCAGTCTGGGCAATATGATGAGACTTCGTCTCTACAATAAATCAAAAAATTAGCTGGGTGTGGTGGCGTGCACCTCTGGTTCCAGCTACTTGGAAGACTGAGGAGGAAGGATCACCTGAGCCCAGCAGGTGGAGGTTGCAGTGGCCATGAGCACAAGCCTGGGTGACAGTGAGACTCCAACTCAAAAAAAAAAAAGAGTCTGGGCACAAGATGGTCAGGCCTAGGCCAGGCGCAGTGGCTCATGCCTATAATCCCAGCACTTTGGTAGGCCGAGGTGAGAGGATTACCTGAGCCCACGGTTTTAAGACCAGCCTGGGCAACTTGGTGAGACCTCATCTCTACAACAAATCAAGAAAAATTAGCTGGGCATGGTGGCACATACCTGTAGTTCCAGCTACTTGGAAGGCTGAGGTGGAAGGATCGCCTGAGCCTAGCAGGTTGAGGCTGCGGTGGCCCATGAGCATGCCACTGCCCTTCAGCCTGGGCGACAGAGTGAGACATCAACTCAAAAAAAAAAAAAGATGGTTAGGCCTGAAGGAGGGCAGGGGTGACCGTGGGATAGAGGGACCATGGGAGAACACTACAGGGTGGGAATGCTAAGACATGATGAGGGGAAGGGTCCCAATGGGAATGAGCTGATTCCTAACAAAATCACAGACTTAGCCACAGTTTATTAGTTTATCTCATGAAAGCCTTTGGCATCCCTTCTCCACGACACACATCACCTCTCTGGGTGAGTGGGCAGATTCTCTCTGGATAGAACTACTCTTTGCTTTATCTCTCTTTATGTGTGTCCCGTCCAATTCTTTGTTCGCAGCACCGAAAACCTGGTCACCACCAACAGGTCTTCAATCAACCTGCAACGTAGTTAGGGGCCTGGCTATCAGCTGGAGCTCAGAACAGTTGGTGATTGATGGGGACAGGATGAGGGGCATGGTGATATGGTGATATGGGTGTTATTTCCACAGAGAATGCTTCTCTGGCCTTCAGGTCAGGTTTGAAAGAGGTTGCCTGATTTTGCCTCACTATAGCTCCTTGCTCTTTGCTTCTTGATCCTTAACAGTTTCAGTGACATATTTGTGTGATACTTGATTGATGCCTGTCTTTCCCATGGGACCGTAAGCCCACATGTAGAACAGTGCCTAGCATCTAGTTGGCACTCAGAAATGGTTGTAGAGCTATGAAGACAGATCAGTAGTTGCCTGGGACTGAGGACGGGAGGAGTGACTGTAAATGGGCATGGGGAGCATTGGTATATGCTCAAAAGCTGGATTGTGGTGATGGCTGTGCAACTGCTTACAATTACTAAAAATCACCGAACTGTACACTTACAATGGTTGAATTTTATGGCTTAAATTATAACTCAATAAAGCCGTTAAAAAATAAAAATCAGTATTTGTAGAATGAGAAAACTGTCTTCCTCCACAAGGTTGTGAACGCTACATTCTCGCAAATGCAGAATTGGCACTTAGTGGGCGCAGAGGAATCGAATTATCTAAGGAGTCAATGAATGAAAGAGGAAACTTCCGGGAGGTCCCAGCCAGCAGCTTCCGGTCGCGCCTCCGCGCTCCGCTCGGCGAGAGACGAGCCCCGTGATTGGCCCGCGGAGACGGCGGTTATCCGGGGGCGTGGCTTCAGGGGAGGCGGGGCCACGAGGGGGCGGGCTCTGAGCGCGGGTCGGGCGCTTGCGCACTGTTGCGGCCGCTGTCTCCGCGGTGAGAGGAGTGTACGCGATGGCCGGGCCCGCGTGGATCTCCAAGGTGAGCGCTGGCAGACACCCGTGTGGCAGCGCGGGGGCAGACCGGCGCGCAGGCCGCGTGCTGGGCAGGGACGGGCACGCAGGACTGATGAGGAGGCGGCGCGGCCCGCGGGGACACTCTGGGAGCCGGTCCTGGCAGTCCATGCGCCGCACAACGCGGCCGTCACGCAGGATGTGGGCCACCCCGCGCCGGGACAGGCGCGCCCGAGGCCGGGACGGCGCCAAGGTCAAGGCGGGGGGCACCGGCCCGGCTCCTGGCGAGACCCAGCTGCCCCAACCCGCATCCGCCCGGCCCGGAGCCCAGGCCTCGTGCCCAGCCCAGGAAGGTCACGGGAGCCGCCGCCCCGGCCCCGCCATCCAGGCCTCTTCCGCGACTGCGGCCGGGCTGCCGGGCTGATCGCGCGATAGGGCCCCCCCACAGCGCCGCCCGGGTTTCTCCTCCCGTGTCTATTTGGCAGCGGCCTGGGGTTGGAAGGTTTTCCCAGGTGAGGTTCTCCCTTTTCCTGACAGATTTCTTTCCCGTTGGAGTTCTCTTCCCAGTCTGTCCTCTGCTGCTCTTGTAACTGTTTCCCCTTCAGATGACATAGGGCATCTTACACCTTGGAATTACTGTCTGAGCCCTCGGAGAGGGAGACTGGTAGAGTCTGCCTTTTGCCTTTTATTGCTGGGAATCCTGCGACCTAGAGAGCGTTAGCTCTTCCTGGACAGCCGGAGCTGGAAAGGGTTTCAGAACATCTGTGCGATTCCTTGGTTTCTCAGTGGAGCTAACCAGTGCCTAAGACGAACGTGCTCAAGGTCACGCAGGAGGTCGATGTCACAGCTGGCAGAGGGACCCAAGTGTCTTGGTTCCCATTTATCAGTTCCATTCTGCCTGCTCCGTGGCTAAGGTCACATAGCAAGTAGGGTACAGGGGGAAATAGGCCTCAGGTCTCCTGTTGCTGTTTAATGGATGGTCCCCTTGAAGTCTACAATAAGCAATTTAATTTTCTCTTATAAAGTTTGTTACTACTTTTCTCCTTTGTTTCCACTTTAAGGGGAGGTCCAGGGATGCAGTTTGTTATGTAGCGAAATGGTCTCTGTATTGGAATTTAGGATCTCGGGTTTAAATCCTGGCAGTGCCACTGGTAGGCTCTGGGACCCTAAGCGAATGACTTCACATCGATTAAGCCTTAATGTGCTCATCTGTGAAATATCCACACTTGCGTCAGAGTTGTTCCAGGATTAAATAAATATAAATAATGTCTATGAAAGCACCTAGTGTGTAAAGAAGGAACACAAAAAACCTGAAGTACCCTTAACTGTCCATATATTTATCTTGGTGTTCATCCAGAAGATGGTGGTTCTTGGGCATCAGTAACTGGGTTTTTGGCTCAGTAGCAAGATTCTACTTTGTCGCCCGCTTCAGACCCAGATTTGTTTGCAGTGGTAACATATGTGCTCTTTTAATGTGATCTGCAAGGAAAAAAACCCCATAGTAGGTGTTCAGAAAGTGTTGGATTGTGGGGCCAGAAGACAAGTTTCTTCTATGACATGGACTCACTGTCAGAGTCATTTGACTTCTGATCAGTTTCTCACTTTAAGGATTGGAGCAGAAGGTGCCTTAGAGGCTGATCCCCGGATGGTGGGGGTGCTGAGCCGGATGTCAGTTTCAATCAGAGCACTTCATCTATTGGGTTTCCTTTTAAGATTTTATCTGAAAACAAAAAGGATTTACAGCTTAAAAAGCTTTCTAAAAACTTTTCTGGCTCTAAAATACTGTAATTATAACATGCCAGTTCCCCATTAGCAAGCATGTATTGAGTCCTGCCACACCAACATTACATTTATATGTTGTTAAGTTGGAGTCTGAAGGTAAAAAAGGAAACGAGCTATGGATTAAGATGGTTCAGGACCTGAAGTCAGAATTTCTGGGTGTTGGTCCTGGTTCTGTGAACCTAACTTCAATTTCCTCATCTGTAAAAGGCCACTAATACCTATCCAGGTTTTTTTTTTTTTTTTTTTGAGTTGCGGTCTCACTGGGTCGCCCAGACTAGAGTGCAGTGGCATGCTCCCAGCCACCGCAGCCTTGACCTGCTGGGCCCCGGCGAGCCTTCCACTTCAGCCTTCCAAGTAGCTGGAACTACAGGCGCACGCTACCACGCCCGGCTAATTTTTTATTTTTATTGTAGAGATGAGGTTGTCCGGGCGGGTCTTGAACCCGCGGGCTCAGGCAATCCACTCACCTTGGCCTCCCAAAGCACTGGGATTACAGGCTGAGCCACCGAGCCCAGCCTCTCTCTGGGTTTTATAGAAGTAAAATGATGTGGTATATGTATAAGTGTATTATAAAGTAGAAGACAGTGTGTGCTTTAGAAAACCTTATTTTACTTGAAGTTCTGGGTCATTTTAATGACTTATGTGTAGTACTGCTTTATTCTAAGATCATGGAGGAGAGATGACAAACATGGCAAAGACTGTTGTTAAAGAAAATTATTGCAAACAGTAAGGCTATTTGCTAGTGTGGAAACTCTTCAGATAAAGGTGTGATTGAGGCTGGACTCAGTTTTTTCAAAAAATATTTACTGTGTACCTACTATGAACTAGGCACTGGTGTTACAACAGTGAACAAAACATAAAAATCCTTGCGCTTCTGAGTTTTCTCTCAATATCTGCATGTTGAATGGGTTTACATTTTAAATCACTTGTTTTGGTCAGTTCTTTTGTCACAAGGACACAGACCTGTTTTGTGTTAATGTCTTTTCCATCTTTTTGGGATGGCTGAGAAGAAGGACTCAGGTCAATTTTATAATCTGCTTATTACAGAATGGTCTTTAAAGATCTCCCCCCTCCCCCCAACAAGTAGCCCACTTGCTGGTGGATAAATCATGTCCTTGGATTAAGATTTTGGCCAATTGTTTTGGCTTAGCATACTCTTTTGGGTCTGGCTCTATTTTTATTTTCAGTCCAGAGACATGACTGTAGGCACCGGAAGATTAGAGAATACAGTTCATTCATACCTTCCTTGACTGTTGGTGGGTAGGTGCCAATGTTTCAGCAAAGGTTCAGGCCCCAAAGAGGAAGGACAGGATATAACATGTATCTTTGTTCATGTATCTAGCAAGAGAAAATGTTACCTTTAAAGGTTTTTAATGTATTATAATGCCTTTGGTCTATGTACCCAATTTCTTTGTATCAGTTCTCAAGTACTAAGTTATTAAAGTTCAAGATAACCTTAAAAATTTATGTTTCTGGTATATCATAGTGTTAACTGGAAAAAAAGTACCAGTGGTAATATCTTGGGGTGGTAGGATTATTGGGTAACTTTATTTTTATATCTTTCTTTAGTCTCAGCATATGAACAATAATGACCATGTTACCTATGTTATCAGAATAAATAAATAATGTATTTAAAATCTTTATCCCTGGTTGGGTGCAGGGGTTCATGCCTGTAATCCCAGCACTTTGGGAGGCAGAGGTGAGAGGGTTGCCTCAACCCATGGGTTCAAGACCAGTCTAGGCAACTTGGCAAGACCTCATCTCTACAATAAGAAATAAAATAAAATAAAATCTTTATTCTGTATGGCATGGGCATCAAATGGTATTAAGTAAATTTTCTTAGATTTTATTATAAAGTGAAATATCTTAATATTTATAGGAGAAGAATAGACATAAGGAATAATTGAAGGAGCACTGGACTAGGAGCCAGAAGACCTGGATTCTGGTTTCCATTGTGTCACTTACTCACTGTGTGACCCTACTCTTTGGGCCTAATGTCTCCACTTATAATAAGTGAGTTGTTAGGCATGGTGTTATGGGCCTGTCTTCCCAGCTACTCTGTAGGTTGGGATGGGAGGGTCACTTGAGCCCAGAAGCTCTAGATTAGCCTGGGCAATTCAGTGGCATCCCATCTCAGAAAAACTCCAAAACAACAACAAAATAAGAAAGTCATGCTCTGGATTTCATAAGGCCCCCCCCCCCCGGTTCTAAATTTAATGATTATTTTCTTAGAGTATGTGTTACCCTTAAATTGACTTGGTGGTCAAGAATGTTGACCCAGAACCTTCCAGATCATCTGAGGAAAATCTGATGTTTGAGCTAAAAAAAAGTATAGTTTCATTCTGCTTTCAACATCTTTCATTTGACAACTTATAATATATATATATTTTTTGAGTTGGAGTCTCACTCCATCGCCCAGGCTGGAGTGCAGTGGCACGCTTCCAGCCACTGCAGCCTTGACCTGCTGGACTCCGGTGATCCTTCGTACCATGCCCGGCTAATTTTTTATTTTTATTTTATTGTAGAGATGAGGTCTCGCCAAGTTGCCTGGATGGGTCTCAAACCTGCAGGCTCAGGCAATCCACTCACCTCGGCCTCCCAAAGTGCTGAGATTACAGGCTGAGCCACCGAGCCTGGCTGACAACTTATAAATTTGGCTTTGAAACTATGTTCTTCTTAAATTCTCAGATCAAAAGTAAAAAACCGAATATTTAGGTTTTCAAACCTGAGATAATTTGTCATATGAGCGAATACATGGAATCTGTTTCTGGTAAGTTCCTGAAAATGTCTGTGCTAATTTGCAGCATTATCAACCACCAGAAGGCTTCATCTCCACTGTTTACTGTATGTGTTTTAATTCTGTGCATGACATTTCTCTGTTGATATTAATATAGGTCTCTCGGCTGCTGGGGGCATTTCACAAGCCAAAACAGGTGACCAGAGGTTTTGCTGGTGGTGTGAGTATAATTATGTCTTTTATTTTTCCTTTTAGAAGTTTCTCAAGAAAGATACTCTAATAAATTTATTAGATAGTATTTTGTTGCCATTTATTTAAACTTAGGGAAAATTGGCCATATTTATAATGTATATTGAAATTATTGGCTAACGTGCAAATCTATTGGGTGTCTTGCACATTTGAAACCATTATATTGCAGCTGGCTATGTAAGCTCTTCACATTAATATCTTGAATGAGCCTTTTAAAAATAGATAGATATTACCCCTGAGTGTGTTATTTTATTTCTCAGTATCATTTTGGTAAGACAGTTTTTTTCAAAACTAGTACAAGCTGAGAGAACATTGTTGAGAAGCTTCAAAGCCTGCTTTGCCTTTTTATTTTTGTGAGCTTCCCTAAAAACAGTAGATTGCCGATTAGAAATTCCTGAAACATCCAGAAACCCTGTGGGCTTACACTTCCCCTGAACAGTCCTTGTGAATGATCACATTAGCAGATCATCTATTGCTAATTGAATCTGCTGCTTTTAGAATTCCCAGCATTAGAGTTCTATGCTTTAAAACTGATACCACATTTTTGGAACATTCTAAGACTGTGGGTCAGTGATTTTCCTATTTGTTTTCTTTTACCCCCCTTCTGTGGAATCTGATTTGGATTTCATAATTCCTATGCTCCCATATAACATCTTAGGCCATGAAGGGTTTATAAGACTATGGTCTTATACATTTATGCATTTTTTTTCCCCATTTATTTTCTGTACTGTGGAAGAAAAGTAGATTTTCTGGTGGCTTGATGACATTTATTATTACATATTGGGAGAACAGGAAGATGGGTCCCAAGTTTCTTTTGGCTCTGCTTATGCAAAAAAATGCATAGTGAAGCTTGCACTTCAAGATCAAGGATAGCTAAGCTAACATTTCAAACGCATTCTGAAAGCTAATGAGATGATCTTTGCTTTTTGCTATTATTTAATTTTCAGGCTATTCATTTCAAAATATATTAGCCTGATGGAGGGGATTATTTTTGAAAAAAAGAGGAAATATTAATTTTTAAAAAGATTTCTTCAAGCTGGGCATGGTGGTACATGCCTATAGTCCTAATTACTTGGGAGACTGAGGCAGGAGGATTTGTTTGAGGCTAGGAGTTTGAGGCTGTAGTGCACTATGATCACACTTATGAATTGCCATTGCATTCCTGCCTGGGCAATATAGCAAGAACCCTGTCTCAGTCATATAGAAAAATTCAGAAATAGTCTACCTGTCTGGGAAGATATCATTGGAAGGCAAAGGACCAAAGAAACTTGAATTTGTGATTTTTAAAATAATACAGCTCAAGCAACTGGAACTGGAAAAAAGCAAGGAGCCATCCTCTGAACAAACTCCTCAGTGGGGAGAAGTCCCTAAATAATGAAGTGTGTGGTTCCCAGCTAGAGAGAGAGGGTCTACAGATTATCTTAATTCATTTAAATCCTCTGATTTCTTCTCCTTTATATTTCTGCGTTTGAAATGCTGGCTTCATTTTGCCTGAAGCCTTTGGAAAAATCATTGATGTTACATTATAAGTCACTTACTGTCATTCTAAGGGAAGCTCAGATGCTGCAGGTATGATCACATATGCTGTTCTTGCTGTTTACAAATCAACTTTGCTGAGCTTGTTTAGATTACTCTTATCTTTAAGCAGTCAGTTTTTTAGAGGAACTAAGAAAAATGGAGGTCTTCTCTTGATGTGAAGTCTGATTTTTTTCCAAGTACCAGAACAGAGCTCAGTGATATTCTGGAAGTATCCAAAAGTGTTTTGTAAGACAGAAGAAGTTGCATGAGAAACTTTCCAGGATCACAGTGGAAAGGCAAGCGCTTGCCTTCACAAGAAACCCTTTATTTTTAGTAAGAGAACATTACGAACATTTTTATGTCTTTGGTTTTAAAGATATGAGTTGATTGATCTCTTTGTAAATTGTCCGAGAAGAAATCTCAGTTGGGAAGTTTACTTGGTAGTTTAGTTTATTTTGGTTTTTGCCTAAAGAGCATGATTTGAGTTCTTTTTAAAACTTCTGAACTCAGGTAAAGTGTCTAATTGTGAAGTCTCTTGTCTGTTAATTCTGCCTCCCCTTTGGTGATTCTGGAGGAGGTATGTCTGTTTTCTTAAAAGCACTTGAGGCACCCTATAAAATGGATTTCTTTCTGTCAAAAATATTTATTTTTAAACCTTCAAAAATAAATTCTTACTGTCTTCTTTGATGATCTTTTATATTCAGGTTCAGACAGTAACTTTAATTCCAGGAGATGGTATTGGCCCAGAAATTTCAGCTGCAGTTATGAAGATTTTTGATGCTGCTAAAGTAAGTGGGCTTAAAAAATACATTAATAATCATTTATTGAGCAATTTTTCTTAGCCTTGGATTCTGTGAGCCCTTAGGATGAATTGTACACATTTCTATAAGAGTTGGTAAGGTCTGCTGTTAATCTCCACGGATTGTCACTTTAACAGTGTGTGTCTGCTGCCATTGTTTAAACTCCTATATTGACATCAGTCATATGTAAGGTAATCAAAGTAGTACTACCCGTATTGATGGATCTTTGAGCCCTGCCTGGATTTAAGGTCTTCTAAGCCCTGCCAAATCACCTACCTTTTTGCGAAAAAGGAAGAAGAAAAGAAAATAGAACAAATGTATCAAAAATCTGTATAGGGGTTTTGGAAATAATTTTTTAAAACAAATTTTGATTATGTCTCATCAAGAATGGAGTGTAGGCCAGGCTCCGTGACTCAGCCTGTAATCCCAGTACTTTGGAGGCCCAGGCGAGTGGATTGCCTGAGCTTGTGGGTTCGAGACCAGTCCGGTCAACTTGGCAAGCCCTCATCTCTACAATAAATAAAAAATTAGCTAGGCATGGTGGCGCGTACCTGTAGTTCCGGCTACTTGGAAGCCTGAGGCAGAAGGATTGCTGGATCCCAGCAGGTCGATGCTGGGATGGCTGTGAGTGTGCCACTGCACTCCAGCCTGGGCAATGGAGTGAGACTCCAACTCAAAAATAATAATAATAGTAATGGAATGTAGGCCTGGTGCAGTGGCTCACATTTGTAATCCCAGCACTTTGGGAGGCAAAAGTGAGAGGATTGCCTGAGCCCAGGGTTTTGAAACCAGCCTGGGCAATTTGGTGAGATCTTGTCTCTATAATAAATCAAAAAATTAGCTGGGCATGGTGGCACATGCCTGTAGTTCCAGCTACTTGGAAGGCTGAGGCGGAAGGATCACTGGAGCCCAGCAGGTTGAGGCTGTGGTGGCTGGGAGCGGCCACTGCACTCCAGTCTGGGTGACAGAATGAGACTCCGACTCAAAAAAAAATAAAATAAAATAAAGTGTATATTTCAATTCAGTAGTTTTTAGTGCATTCACAGAGTTATGCAACTATCACCACAATCTCATTTTAGAACATTTCGTCATCCAGAAAGAAACCCTATACCCAGTAGCAGTCACTCCCCATTCCCCCCTTTCCCATCCCACCCCCCACCCTTAGGCAACCCATCACTCATCTACTTCCTGTCTCTGTAGGTTTGCCTATCCTGGGCATTTCAGGTGAATATCATCTTATAATGCATGGTCTTTTATGATTGACTTCTTACAGTTGGTGTAATGTTTTCAAGTTTCATCCACGTGTCAGTGCTATGTAATGTTTCTATGCACCATGTTTCTCTGCTTCTTATGATATTCTAAGTATAGCCACCCTAAGAGTCCCTGTGAAAAAAATAAATGGGCAGGTGGTGGCTCGGAGCGATGACTACTGGGCAAGAGTAACATGGAGACTCCCTCAGGGCATGCCAGAGAGTGCCAACTCTTGCGTGCCAGGAACTTTCTGGATCTTTAGTACATATGTTTTTATGAGTCACATGCAAAGTGGAGGAAGTTTGCCTATCACTGTGAGTGAATGTCAGTCTCACGGAAGTCTTTCCAGCTCACTGTGCTCTCTGGTGTGGCATCTAGGCACCTATTCAGTGGGAGGAGCGGAATGTCACTGCCATTCAAGGACCGGGAGGAAAGTGGATGATCCCTTCAGAAGCCAAAGAGTCCATGGATAAGAACAAGATGGGTTTGAAAGGTAGCACCTGGGGTGTGGGGGAGGGGGCAGTTATGGCAGGTTTCTGCAACTGTTGGTGTGTTTCTGAAGTTTATGCTTTTAAGCTAAATAGGGACTGACCATCAGTGAAGGTAAAGCTCACCTATGAAGGTAGTTACTATGAAAAAACTGCTCATCGTAAGATGCTTTGTTTTTCATTTGAGATCTTCCCCTGCCCTAAAAACATTAAAGTATTACTGGCCAATACCAAATGACAGTATCTATTTATCTTTAACTGGATTTATATTTTACTTAATTTTTACATTTTTATTATTATTTTAGTTAATACATGTTTAAGGCTATAATTCAAAATATTAATATATAACATTGAAATTCAAAGAAGCATTAAACCACAGGCAGATCTACATTGAATCTTATTTTATTTTTTATTTTTTTGAATCGGGATCTCACTCTTGTCCAGGCTGGAGTGAAGTGGTGTGATCACCACTCACTGTAGCCTTAACCTGGGCTCAAGTAATCCTTCAACCTCAACCTGAGTAGCTGGGACTACAGGAGCACGCAAACCAAGCCTGGCTAATATTTAAAATTTTTTTAATAGAGACAAGGTCTTGCTGTATTGCCTAAGATGTTCTTGAAATCTTGGGCTCAAGCAATCCTCTTTCTTTGGCCTCCCAAAGTGCTGGGATTACAGGCATGCGCCACCACACCCAGTCCTCCCCTTCATTTTTAAATGACAGTAACAGAGTTGCTACCTTTTGGGGTGACAGTGAGGATTAGATAATGTCAAACATGTAATACAATGCTTGTTCCTCAGGAAATTCTCAAGATGAAAAATGCAGTTAATTCTCCAGAAAGCTTCCGTGAGGAAATTTTCCTCCTTCATTTGAATCTGAGGGAGAAGTTTGAGACAGAACACGTTCTACAGGGTAGCCCAGGTGGGTTAGTGGGTCACATGTGAGACCAGGGTATGTTCTGTTGTCATCTGGGTCTTCTTTATTACAGGCCCTTTAAAGACCCCAATAGCAGCTGGCCACCCATCTATGAATCTACTGCTGCGTAAAACATTTGACCTTTATGCAAATGTCCGGCCATGTGTCTCCATTGAAGGCTATAAAACCCCTTACACCGATGTGAATATTGTCACCATTCGAGAGAACACAGAGGGAGAATACAGTGGAATTGAACACGTGGTATGTTCTCTGCAGACATTTTTTCATTCCTAATTGGGCTGTTCTCTGTGCACTTGGGACAGTTGTCCAAATTCCCACTGGAATTTGTCTTCCAAAGACAGACCAGTTTTACCTCTGTGAGGAGTTGAGGGTGTTTGTGTTGGTGCTGGGTCTCTAACTGACAGTTACAGATACCAGGAGGAGTAGGGCATGCTAGTTCCGGCCATAGGCTTGGGAGTATGCTCTCTGAATGTGAATCCCCCACTTCACAGGTGCACTCTTGGGCAGGTGACCATCGCTGCACTGCAGTTTTTCTCATCTGTGTAGTGGGCTTATAATACTTCACTGGGCTGGGGTTAACATTAGTCCTGTTGATATACTGTGCAATGACGCTAGCCATGATAGCTGGCACGATGCAAGCGTGCCACAAATGATAGTGTCTGCACACCATCAGCTGTCCCCTACCGAGATGTTGTCATGCCCTTTCCAGCAAGGCAGGACTTGCTCTCTTGTAGATTGTCGATGGCGTGGTGCAGAGTATCAAGCTCATCACCGAGGAGGCGAGCAAGCGCATTGCTGAGTTTGCCTTTGAGTATGCCCGGAACAACCACCGGAGCAACGTCACAGCCGTGCACAAGGCCAATATCATGTGAGTCCCTGTAGGCTGGCACCTGTCTTGCTTTGTTGTGGGGGCAACAGTGACAGGGCATCCTTTTTTTTTCCTGCCTCAGGTTTATTGTACAAATAGCACAGGAGGACACCAGCCCCATGCAGACAGCAGCCTGGGGGTCAACCCAGTTCTTCTGTCCTCACGTTGGCAGACAGGGGCCTCTACTCTGGAGCTTTTGCGGGGGTCTGGGCACCTTTGGGAGCCTGAGCAGGAGTTGGTACTGAGGCTGGAGCTGTAGGTGAAGCTGCAGCCAGGGCCTTAGTTTGAACCTTGGCCTTTGGCTGGCAGAGCCTGCGACCCTTGGCAATACAGGCATGAATATGCTTCCCAAGCTTGGGCTGGGCAGTGTATGCAAGTCAAGTAAGCTTGCGGCTAGGACCCTTTGGGATCTTGGGCTTAACCTCCATGGGCTTTACGAGGGTCTTGATAGCCTCAGCACGTGCACTCATGGCAGTTGCGTTGTTGGCTTGCATCTTCTTCAGGCCCTTCTTGTTGTGCTTCTTGGCCAAGTTCTTCAGGAACTTGGGATCCACCCCCTTAAGAGACTCGTGTCTTTGTGATCGGGGTTTCTTTTTTTTTTTTGAGTTGGAGTCTCACTCTGTCGCCCAGACTGGAGTGCAGTGGCCGCTCCCGGCCGCCGCAGCCTCGACCCGCTGGGCTCCGGCAATCCTTCCGCCTCAGCCTTCCAAGTAGCTGGAACTACAGGCACGCACTACCCCGCCCGGCTAGTTTTTGATTTTATTGTAGAGATGAAGTCTCGCCTGCCCAGGCAGGTCTCGAACCTCAGTCCACTCACCTCAGCCTCCCAAAGGCGCGGGATTACAGGCTGAGCCACCGTGCCTGGCGATCGGGGGGTTTCTTGAGGCCATTTCTGTGCCATTTTCGGGACTGGTTATATGTGGTATGGTTCTTGGACTTGGCCATGTCTGCACCGTAACCCGTGACTCCTGAAGTGCCTGGGACTGGAAGAGAAAAGGGGGCATCCTTTTCTTCTCTTCAGCTTGCCCATTGATCCCCAATGTCTCTGAAAAAGAACTTTGTGACAGTCAGAGGGTCCTGCATTTCTCTTCTGCCTCCTTTTCACTCTGCTTCACTGGGTGAGTGACAGGAGCAAGTGAGGAGGGGACCGGGCTTCAGGTCCTAGAAGCTTAAGGAGAAACTGAAGGTTGTCAGCAAAGGAAGCTGGTCCCCAGATACTGTTGGCCAGTCAGCACAGGCCACTTAGTTTATGTTTCAGAAGTGGAGGAGTAGAAGTGTTTCTGACGTGGCCACGTGCTTAGGGGCTTAAAATAGTCTGTGCTCATAGTGCTAATACTACCCAGTGTATTACTCCAGCAGTTTAAACTCTCATCCAGACTATTAAGGGCCATCTGTGAATGCATATAAAGAAACAGTTTGCCTAACCTAAGAAAAGTGCTAAACATGTAAAATAGTAAAACCATTTAAATGACTACGTTAACTTTTCAGAGTAGTTTTAATAATATTAGTGGATGTGTCTTAGTTCTTGTTGGATAACACTATAAAAATTTAGTCTTTTCTATTATGATAAAATTATTTTATATTTTTACCCTTTTGTACTTCAGAAGGATCCCAAAACGTTTTCAACTTGCATTTTATTAGCTGCCTAAGAAATAATTTTATTGTAATTGAAATCAGACATCTTGGCTTCTGGAACTTAAATTTCTTGAACTTACTTCTTTGATTTGATTCTTTTCTTTCTGCAAGACTTTTTTTTCAGCAGTTTTTATTTGATTCAATATAGGCGGATGTCAGATGGGCTTTTTCTACAAAAATGCAGAGAAGTAGCAGAAAACTGTAAAGATATTAAATTTAATGAGATGTACCTTGATACAGTGTGTTTGAATGTAAGTACATATTCACACTTGTTTGCTCATTTTTATGGTGAATTATGTGTGTGTATGTGTGGTGTGCAGTTTTGATTGCTAATTGCACAAATTATTTCTTGTAGATGGTACAAGATCCTTCCCAGTTTGATGTTCTTGTTATGCCAAATTTGTATGGAGACATCCTTAGGTGAGTCTGACTGCACCCTTTTTATTTTAGTCCGTGGTTTATTTATAAACATCCTAAACTAAGGCTTAACATTTTTGATGAAGTATTATAAAATATAGCATTTGTTGTAAGATACAACTTGAATTCTAATAAGTCTGTGATTACCTGCTGGGTGGGCTGGTCCTTCATTTATTTGCCAAGTCACTGCTAGGCTGTTTTTTTCCTAATCATTAGATCACTCTTCCCATTTTTCAGATGTTTTATTAATTGATTGATTGAAGTGTTTCATTATGTATAGCTAGATAGGTGAGTGGTCATCTTTGCAATTTTTTGGTAACTTTGGATATAATTTCAGACTTATAGAAAAGTTGTAAGAATGGTCCAGAGCATTCCCTTGTACTCAGCACCCAGATTCCCCAGATGTTAACATTTTACCATGTTTACTTGTTACAACCCTTCCCACTTTCCCTTCTTCCTTCCTCCCTTCCTCTTCCTCCTCTTCCGCCACACGTGCGCTTGCATGCATGCATGCACACACACACACACACACACAGAAATAAGATGTTTTTGGCCAGATGGTGATTTACTAAGCCTATTCTTTCTTCTACATGTATGAATTGGCATTGGCCATAAGGATAAGCCTGTCCTTCTCGTTCCTTTATTTGCTTATCTATCTATGTCAATATGGACACGGTTTTCTGTTTTATTCAGTGGTATGTACATCACTTTCTCTTTTTTTAGATTGAAAAATATAGTTTATTTTAAAAGTAAATTAGAGAGAGAGGAGATTCACCTCTCTAAGATAGGGAAGGAGACCAAAGCCAGGAAACATGGCCACAGCCATAGTTCAAAGAGCACATGGCCACACCAGAATCTAGTAAGGCAATGGACATGTCCATCACTTTCATCATTTATATTGTTGCTCAAGTTGTCCTGGCTTGGCCAGTGGGGGCCCTTCACTGTGTCTCCTGTGTCCTTTTGGCATGGCCCTTCATTCTTCGAGCCTTGCCTTGTTTTCTGGCTAATTAGATGCTCCAGGCTCATCTGTATTTTTTTAACCTTAGCCTTAGAATCAGCCATTTTTCCAGGAATCCCTGTTCTTTTTAGTGGAAAATGGTAATTAAAAGTAAAATCTGCAGCCTGTAATCCCGCGCCTTTGGGAGGCTGAGGTGAGTGGATTGCCTGAGGCCGCGGGTTTGAGACCCGCCTGGGCAGCGAGACCTCATCTCTACAATAAACCAAAAAATCAGCCGGGCGTGGTAGCGCATGCCTATAATTCCAGCTACTCGGAAGGCTGAGGCGGAAGGATCGCCGGAGCCCAGCAGGTCGAGGCTGCGGTGGCTGGGAGCGGCCACTGCACTCCAGTCTGGGCAACAGAGTGAGACTCCAACTCAAAAAAAAAAAAAAAGTAAAATCTGGACTGGGGAGCTGTGACTTATGCCTGTAATCCCAGCACTTTGAGAGGCCAAGGCAAGAGGATTGCCTGAGCCCAGGGGTTTGAGACCAGCCTGGGCAACATGGCTAGACCTCATCTCTACAATAAATAAAAAATTAGCTGGGTGCGGCGGCGTGCGCCTGTGGTTCCAGCTACTTGGAAGGCTGAGGTGGAAGGATCGCCTGAGCCCAGCAGGTTGAGGCTGCAGTGGCTGTGAGCATGCTACTGCACTCCAGCCTAGGCAACAGAGCAAGACTCTGACTCAAGATAAAAAAGGAAAATCTGGGTGTTTAATTTTCAGAATATCCTCTGAAATGCTTTTCTGCCCGTAGTGACCTGTGTGCAGGATTGATTGGAGGTCTTGGTGTGACACCAAGTGGCAATATTGGAGCCAACGGGGTTGCCATCTTTGAGTCGGTAAGGACCCTGACACCCACAGCAGAATTCAGGTGGGGACAGTGTGAGAACTCAGGAGGGTTTGTCTGTATAAATACAGGTTCTAACTCTTGAATTTTTCAAATCATCAAAAGAAAAGGATGCTTTTTCTATAAGCTTCGTTTGTTTCTTCATTTCCTTCCAGATATTTATTATGCGTTCTTCTTCACTTAAAATATTTTATAAAAATTGACTGGAAAAGATTGTTGGCCCATTTTTTGTTTTCTTTTTAGAGACAGGGACTCACTCTGTTTCCCAGGTTGCAGTGCAGTGGTGCGATCATAGCTCACTGCAGCCAGCAACTGGGCTCAGGTGGTCCTCCCACCTCAGCTTCCTGTGTAGCTGGAACTATAGGCATGCACCACCACCCCCATTCAGATGAATTGCACACAGTAGTTCTCAATAAATAGTTTCTCTTGGTGAGGAAAGATGACTGAGACTCCAGCTTCCCCAGGAGAGGGCTGTTCTGTCTCCCTCCTGATGTTGCTGCTTTCCCAATGTGTAGGTTCACGGGACCGCCCCGGACATTGCAGGCAAGGACATGGCCAACCCTACAGCCCTCCTGCTCAGTGCCGTGATGATGCTGCGCCACATGGGACTTTTTGACCACGCGGCAAGAATCGAAGCTGCATGCTTTGCTACAATTAAGGATGGAAAGGTAACAGTCATCCTGCCTTAACTTGAGCCTGATGAAGTGCATTGCTTCCATATGTCTTACCTGTGTGAAGGGGGCAGATAATAGTTCTCGTGAGAGCCAAAGGATTTGATGTTGAACAAGCATTCTTCATTGGTCTGATTGAACTTCAGGGAATGTGTGCACATGTGCGCATTTTCTCAGGTGGAAATTCAAGGATTTAATCCAAAGAAGGTTAGGAAGCACTGATGTAGAGTATCTATAGTGGAAGGAGCAGTGATTTGGGAGCCAGGGTCAAGTGCAGGCCTGGTTATTTTGTTGTTAGCTGTGTGACCTTGGCCAAGTTCGTTAATTTTTATAGACAGCTTTTCCTTCTCTCAACAAATGTCTATTGAGCATCTATTATAAGGTGTGAAGCATATAATAAAATGATGGATCTTAAGGAGTTTGCAGTCTGGCAGCAGACGTAATTGTGATGCTGTAGTTTATACATTATACTATGTACATCTATAATACAAAAGCAATGCAGAAGTTTTATTAAAGTAATAATAATGACTAATATCAATCAAATACTTACATGATTTTGAGTTTCTTATATATTATCTCAGCAAATCTTTTCTACTACTCTGTGATGTAAATACTTTAATTAGTCATCTGTTTTGTAGATGAGCAGGCTGAGGTACAGAGAGATTAGGTAATTTGTCCAAGGCAATTTGTCACAGCTTCTAAAGGGCAAAGTTGGTGTTCACTCCCAGTCTGGCACTTACCCACAAGCTTCACTGCCTCCAAAAGTAGTTGTGGCCCATGGAAGGAATGTGGTGGATCATTCTGGAAGTAAAGGAGAGCAGAGGAGGTAATAGCTTCACAAGTCTGGGCCTTGAAGACTGATCCTTCATTTGAGATCCCTTTTTAAAATTGTAGTAAAATATACATAACATAAAATTAATCATTTTAGCCATTTATAGGTCTATAGCTCAGTAATGTTAAGTATTTTTTCATTGTCACATAACCATCACCACCAGTCATCTGCAGAGCTTTTTTGTTTTCCCAAACTGAAACTCTGTGCCCAGGAAGCAATGGCTGTCCCTCCCCCTCCTCCCAGCTCTGAGTGCCCCTTTTCTGCTCTCTGTCTCTGAGTTGACTCCTCCGGGTACCTCATGTAAGTGGAATCATATGGTATTTGTCCTTGGTGTGTGGCTTACTTCACATAGCATAATATCTTCAAAGTTGGTCCTTTCTTTAAAAAGTCTGTCATTTGAAATTACTTATGGCCACAATACAAGAAATGCAGACTTGTTTTCAACAGCCTGATTGATAGTCACATAGGAGAGCATATGATTGTGTATTTTATTCTGAAGCTGAATGTGGGAGGTTATACTCCAGAGAGTTGCCTGATTACATGAGGGTCATTTTAATTGTGTAGGGTAGGAAGATAAAGAGAAGTCAGTATGCTGAGATCTGTTCACAGTGGAGAGAGGACAAGTTGGGAGGACAGATTGGTTGTAGGGGAAACTTTCCTTTCCAAGGAGGGAGGCTTAGAAGTTGGTGATGCAAGTTTTTCCTTGGTATTCGTTTCCTACCAAAAAGAGATCAGAGCATGGTCTTGAGTATTTTAACCTTTAAAAATTCCCCAAGGTCTTTATGAAACCTCTTGTTTAGATTTGCTTTCATTTAAATGCCCGTAGCCAACCAATATTTCTTGGGGTCTTCTGTATGAACAAAGGGGAAATGTTGGGAAAGCTCCCTGTTGCTCTTGCAACAAAAGTGCCTTACTCTTTGTGAAGTGCTTCTGTGCACATGTTCTAGCTGGATTTCCCTGTTCTCCTGGGGTGGGGTGGGTTGGGGTGGAGGGGTGCCTCACTTTGAAATGAGGAACTGAAGGAAAGTTGGAGCAGCTGAGGAACTTGCTCAGCTGGCCTCCTAAGAGGACTTAAATAAACAAACCCTCGGTTTAGTTTGGTGTGCAGATACATTTTTATTTTTGCATTTTCCTTTTCTCAGAGCTTAACAAAAGATTTGGGAGGCAATGCCAAATGTTCAGACTTCACAGACGAAATCTGTCGCCGAGTAAAAGATTTAGATTAAAGCTTCCAGGAATGGCACACACATCAGTCACTCCGATGGACACCATGTGAACCTCTATGTAGAATACCTTCTGTTATGTGCGCATTGGTTTGCTTGTTTCTTGACAGAGTACATTTCTAAATCTGGCCTTTTCTTAACAAAATCTGTGCAAAGGATGCGGGTGATGTCCCTGGGCCTGCTTTCAAAGGACTTTTTCCAAGTGCTGTTTTATTTATTAAATGTCGTCTGTAAACATGTTTTTGTAAGCTCTGAACGGACTGTTGCCATTCTTAACCATTTTACACTTTAGTTAAAATAGTTTTTCCTCAACTGTAAATATCATGATACAGAAGTCATAAGAGAAGACATCTAACTTTTTAAAGAAAAACGTTCTTTTCCTTAGTTTATGAAAAACATAATGGAAATAAAACAAGATATTGACATAACAGCACAAGATGACATTCTTATAAACGGGCACAGGAGAAATTTCATTGGAAAGTTCATATCAGAAACAGTGAATATGGCATATTTCTTAGTGATACGGACAATAGAGACAGATTTGTCCTTTATATGAATTCCTGAGTATGAATAAAAATTTCAGATCCAAGAAATATATAATGAAAGATGTAATTTTTTATTAATGAGATAAAGATAATATATTAGGTACAAAGACACGAATGTATTGTATGTTCAATTATTTTGTTACCTTAAGACTTACTCCTCGCAAGAGCTTTTAATGAAGCAGAAGGTGGTACTTCCTCTTCATTGGACACTGATTAAGCATCGTGAGTTGTCACAGCCCCTGAGTCCCTGTATTGACACTCTGAGTTGGGCCGGGGAACTGACCGTGTTGTGAACTGATTCTTGCTTGTCGCTGTCTGGAAATGGACCGTACTCCAGTAGGTGCTGCTGGGGGTGGCACTGCCGAAAGGCCCGATCCTGTGTCCTTTGGCAGTGGTCGACAAGCTTGGGCTGCTGGCTAGTAACTTCATATTTTAGCGACTGCCCCTTCACCTCCCCCTAGGCCCCATCAGTGCCCTTGGCCTCAACAGTACCAGTACGAGACGACATTGCGAAGACTAGAGCTGACTCAGCCCATGCTGATTCAAAAGCTGGGGCTGGGGCTGAGCTTTTGACTTTCAGGCACCTTCCTTCTTCCCTCCCTGCCCCTCCTCTCCCCTCCCCTCCCTTGCAACGTGGTTTTTCTTCTTCAGACACGAAGTTACTGTCTTCATGAACAGTTACCCTTTGGCCCCATACTAAAGGCAACTCATGGCCTTCCGTGGCCCTCATGAAACATTGCAAACCTGTGGCTTTGCATCATGTACCCAGGTCACAAGGGGATTTCTTAACAACAGCATCCCTGTCTCCGGGTCATTTCTCAGACTTGTAACCAGACTTATACTCTTATATGTATTTTACTTTGTGTAAGCTGCCGCTTCCCAGTTCTATTGGATTGTGCTCATGAGCTTTGGCTCTTGGGTTCAAAGTAATAAAGAATTCCAAAACTGCTTGAGATGTGTGCGTTCTCTGCCCACTGACTATGCAGACGCCTTGGTCGTTTGGACTCAGTCACTGCTAAGAGTGGCCGCTTCTGGCATTCAAAAGGGAAGGGCTGGCCTGGTGGCAACGGGCTAACACAAGAGCTGGTTGCTCTTAGAACGTTCCACTTGACCCCTTGTGCACCTTTGCTTATTCCAGAGCACTGATGCTCGCTCATGCCCTACACACAGTCCTGTCGATTACATATCCGCTACACCCTGTTCGGGTCCCACCTGCTCAACTGGCAAAAAATCAGGTCCTTGTTGACAGTTCTGTTAAAAAGGTTTAATATTTAAATTACACATTAAATAGAACCAAATAAGCAGCAGCAGTTTTATTAAGCATCAAGTCAGTTGGCATGTGCATGGTTGGGGGGTCCTGGTCACAGAAGAATAGAGCGGGCAGCATCCAACAAGATTCCAGAGAGTATGGCCGTTAGGTGAGTTATAGCAGCATGTGCTAGTGATACCGGCCACCCCTTCCACAGCCTGCCACTGGCTGGTCTGTCACGCAACCTGGCAGCTTATTACTCTACCTGGAACTAAGGCCAAAAATCATCAGCCCTTTAGTTCTGGAAGGAGAGCTGGTCTCATTTGTCACCTGAACAAAAAGCTATACTTAAATAGAACTAAAACTACCCACATGTGAAGCTTCTCAGAATTGTCAGCTATTGTTGGCCTAAGACCTGGTGAATGCCAGTGCCACACCTTGACTTGGAGACCTAACAGACTTTCCAGGAACGCCTGCGTCCACACTGAGGGTGCCTGGGGCTCAAGAACGTGCTCGGGAGGCCTGCCATCTGTTCTGTGGGTACTGCAAGCATGGCCCCTGGCTACATATTTTGATCTTGGTAGAAGGAGTCGATGATCTCCTTATACTTCTCCAGAACCGTGAGCCGTTTCAGTTTCATTGTGGGGCCTAAAAGAGAAACGGAAAGTAACAAGTCTGGCCCAGACCTAGACCCTGAAAGAGTATGTGTTGAAAATTGTGACACAGGAATTAAACTGGATCATTAGGATGGAGCAGCCCCCTCCCAGACAGAGCCCCCTCCTCCTGGTGTGCACACCCCTGTGTACTCCCCTCCCATGTTGTACCAGGGTTGATCTGTGTGACCAGTAGGATATAGAGGAAGTGATATGCCACTTCTGAGACTAGGTTATAAAAGACTAGGGTTTCAGGCAACCCCCTTGGGTTCCCTCCCACTGTTGGAACTTTTCTATCCTCTCAATAAGTCCTACTTTCAAAAAAAAAAAAGACTAGGTTTCTTTCATATACATAATGAAGTGCTATAAGGCACACCCACCTCATTGTTGTCCTATACCCCCTTTTTTTTTTTTTCCTGAGTCAGGATCTCACTTCGTGGCCTGACTAGAGTGCAGTGGCACGATCACAGCTCACCGCAGCCTCGACCCCCTGGGCTCAGGTGATCCTGTCTCAGCCTCCCAAGTCGCTGGGACTTCAGGTATGTGCCACCATACACGGTTAATTTTTTTTATTTTGTTTTGTTTTTTTTGTAGAGATGTGGTCTTGCTATGTTGTCCAGGCTGATCTCAAACTCCTGGGCTCAAGTAATCCTCCCGCCTCAGCCTCCCAAAGTGCTGGATCATAGGCATGAGCCACTGTGCCTGACTGACCTGTACCCATGCTTGATCCTTAATCCATTTTATTTAAAATGGATGTATTCAGCTGGCCATGGTGGCTCACTCCTGTAATCCCAGCTCTTTTGGAGGTAGAGGTGAGAGGTGCCTGGGTTCAAGACCAGGCTGAGCAATACGGTGAGACCTTGCCTTTACAACTAAAAAAAAAAAAAAAAATTAGCCAGGCATTGTGGCGTATGCCTATTGTTCCAACTTCGTGGAAGGCTGAGGTGGAAGGAGTCCCTGAGCCCAGGCAGTTGAGGCTGCAGTGGCCGTGAGCATGCTGCTGCACTCCAGCCTGGATGACAGAGTGAGATTCTAACTCAAAAAAAAAAAAGACTACAGTTTCTGTCTTGGACTCTCTCAGCTTGCTGTGTTGTGAGAACACGCTGGCAGCCTATGGAGAGGTAGGTCCACTGGCCAAGGACTGAGGTCTCTGACCAACAGCCAGGTGGGTGAATGTGGGGTGCACCCTTGGCTCCAGATGACTGCACCCCAGCTCACATGGGCTGTGGCCTCACGAAAGACCCAGAGCCAGAACCACCCAGCTAAGCTGCTCCTGGATTCCTGACCCACAGAGATGGGCATGAAACCTATTTATTGCTCTAAGCTGCTGCATTGCAGGGTAATTTGTTACACAGCAATAGCTGATTAATCCACACGTCATCTCTGCATTTTAGTGAAAGCTCATCCAACGTTGGACATGAGGCTGTGACGGTCTGTGATGGGGTTGGGGCAGCCTTGGTTAGGAGGAGCCTCTGCCATGGCCTTGTGAGAGACCGTCCCCAAGTCACTCTTCTTGACCTTGATTTCCCCCTCTAAAGCAAGGTTGAGAGGGCCCTGACTTGAGGTCCTGGGGAGCTTAGAGTCCTTTTTGTGCCTAATCCACTCTTGACTATGCAACCGGAAACGTTCAGGTCAAAGTCGTGACTCTTAACTGCTTAGAAGAGGACACCCGTCTGGCTGACCTTGCATTCTGTGTGTCAGCTCCAGATGGTCCGACAAGTTCAAGGTCTCTGATTGCAGCTTAGCATTACTGTAGAGGGTCACATCAGGGTTTGCAAGCAAACCGGGATGGTTCAATCTCACTGGAAAAGCCATTTCTGCCTTCCCTGTGCCATGAACTCCTGAGATGCTACAGCCAAAAGCAACCCCACCCAGCCAACTGAGGCTGCTCCAGAGGCTTCCGCTTCTGTGAGCCATCGTCCAGAGCAGCCTCCTCTCTCTGCCTGTCACCTGAGCCGACTTTACCAAAGATGGCAGTAGTCTCCCCAGAGCCAGGTGACCCCAGCCTTGGTGTTTGTCTGATAGTTCCACTGTGAGTTTAGGGGGAAATGGCCCCACGGTCAAGACAAAGTTAAATGTCATATGTTCAAATTGGTAAGTTCTAGCACATACCACATATGTGCGACAGGTTGTGCACAGCCATGCAGCGAGCAGCCAACGCCCCTCCATAGGAGGGCGATGGGTGTCACCCATAGTCCAGCTGCAACTTTCTCCTTGCCGTGGCTGTTTTTTAATGGGCACCTCCCAGGCATGGCCACGGCCTCTGCCCTCCCACACAGCCCCTGGAACAGTGAAAAGACCTACCTAGCTCTCCTCCCGAGATGGAGAAGTCCCTCTCGAGGATGGCCCACTTCTGGATGTGGTAGGGGCGGGCTGCTGCATTCGTGTTGACTCTCCGGATCCCCTCTTCAATGGCCTGGTAAACAGCCTCATCCTTCTTCCCCACGATCTCGGACACTGTGGTGGCCCTGCTGCCCACCCGCTGGCAGAACTCCACAGCTTGTTCTGTCAGGTTATCCATCGGGTCTGAGGTGTCTGGGTCCAGCGTGCACTGAAAAACCAGAGATTGGGTGAGTCCCGAGCCTTGCCCTGTGGGATGCAAGCCCTGGTCTCAGAGGAGGTCTTACTGTCAACAGCGTGCTTGTGAGTCATGTGAGCAATTTTTGTTTTGTTTTGTTTTGTTTTGTTTTTTGAGTTGGAGTCTCACTCTGTCACCCAGGCTGGAGTGCAGTGGCATGCTCATGGCCACCACAACCTTGACCTGCTGGGCTCAGACGATCCTTCTGCCTCAGCCAAGTGGCTGGAACCACAGGTGTGTGCCACCACACCCTGCTAATTTTTAAAAAATTTATTGTAGAGACGAGATCTCACCAAGTTGCCCAGACTGATCTTGAACCCTTGAGCTCAGGCAGTCCTCTCATCTCTGCCTCCCAAAGTGCTGGGATTACAGGCGTGAGCCACTGCACCTGGTTTCTTCTTCTTCCTTCTTCCTTTTTTTTTTTTTAAGAGATAGCATATCACTCTCCCAGGCTGTAGTGCAGTGGGGCGATCATAGCTAACTGCAGCCTCAAACTCCTGGGTCCAAGAAATTCTCTCATCTCAGCCTCCTGAGTAGCTGAGACTAGAGGCACACACCATCATACCAGGCCAATTTAAAATTTTTGTGTAGAGACAGTGTCTCACTATGTTGTCCAGACTGGTTTCTTGGACTCCTGGGCTCAAGGGGTTCTCCTGCCTTAGCCTCCTGAGCAGCTAGGCACCCACCAACACACCTGGCTATTTATTTACTTACTTTTATTTATTTTATTTTAGAGACAGGGTCTTGCTATGCTGCCCCAGGCTGGTCTGAAACTCCTGGCCTCAAGCAATCATCCCACCTTGGCCTCCTAAAGTGTTGGGATTTCTGGCATGACCCACCATGCCCAGCCTGACAGAAGGAATTACCATGTACCACAGCTGCCCCCACAGTGCAGGCAGCACGGACTGGAGTTATTCCAGAATAAAGCCGTGAGATCCAGATGTACCCTGGGCCAAACGTGGCTTCTGATGGGTCAGACCCAAAGATCCTCCCCCTCGCTCCACCGCTGGCTGCTCCCCCAGAGCCGGAGCCCCCTGGACGCACCTTCAGGGTGAGCAGCATGGACAGGAACTTCCTCTGGTCCCCAATCAGCATGGCATTGCTGATGATGGGCAGCTCCATCTTCACGGCCTCCTCGATGGGCACAGGGGGCACGTTCTCCCCACCAGCTGTGATGATCAATTCTGGGGAGGCAAGGCCAGGCCCCCGGCACAGGCTGTAGTGCAGCTCCCCCAGCAGACCCCGACCCAAGCCTCAGCTGCCACCCGGGAGGCCAAGGTGGCAGGCAGCGCTGCAGATATGCCTGCTTCCAGGGAGCCAAGGAGCAGCACCAGGTCCTCCAAGCACCTCACACCTGCTGGGGGCAGTGGCAGTCCCCAGAGGACGGATGCTCAAGGGTCCTCGCCTCAGACATCTCGTCCACCGCCCCCTACTGCCAGCCGCAGGTCCTGCCCCCGGAGCGGCCTGAGTTCTTTCACCTCCCTGCCTTTGCTGGATAACTGCCACCCCATTCCCTTGCAGCACCCACTACCATACTGAGTGCTTCTCGTACAGTCATTCACTTAATCCTCACCATGAACCCGAGGAGAAGCAGACACGCTTATCATCGTGCAGAGAAGGAGACTGAGGCACAGAGAGGTTCAGTCACTTGTCCAAGCTCACATGCTAGTGAGTGGCAGAGCTAAGATCCTAAATCCAGTCCAGTTCCCGAGCCCGTGCTCAGACCCACCTGCCATGGGGCTTGTCCCCTTGCTTGTGTCCTTTCTGCCAGAATGCCCCTCCCCTTCTTTCCTCCCATTCAATAGTCTGCCTACTCAAGGGCCGACTCTGCTAGCTCAGCTACTGCCTTTGAGAAGCCTTCTCCATCTCCACCCGTCCACACTGACCTTTGAGAAAGTGCCTCACCTCTATCCATCCACACTGACCTTCAAGAAGGGCTTCTCACCGCCAACTGTCCACACTGACCTTCAAGAAGGCACCTCATCTCCATCCATCCACACTGACCTTTGAGAAACCTTCTCCACCTCTATCCACCCACACTGACCTCTAAGGAGGCATCTCACCTCCACCTGTCCACACTGACCTTCCCTTTCTCTGAGGTTTTCTTGCCATATCTGTCTCCCTTCTTCATTGGTTTATCCTTTCATTCCAATATTTATTTTGTATATTATTATTATTATTTGAGTCATGGTCTCATTCAGTTGCCCAGGCTGGAGTGCAGTAGCATGATCACAGCTCACCACAGCCTCAGCCTCCTGGACTCAAGTGATCCTTCTGCCTCAGCCTCCTGAATAGCTGGGACTACAGGCATGTACTACCATGCCTGGCTAACTTTTTAGATTTTTTGTAGAGATGAGGTCTCACTATGTTGCCTAGGCTAGCCTCAAACTCCTAAGCTCAAGCAGTCCTCTTGCCTTGGCCTCCCAAAGTGCACCTCACCTGGCCCAATATTTATTTTTTAAATAATTTATTATTATTATTATTTGTAGAGACAAGATCTCACTATGTTGCCCAGGCTGGTCTTGAGCTCCTGGCTTCAAGTGATTTCCCTGCCTCAGCCTCCCAAAGTGCTGGAATTACAGGAATGATTCCCTGCGTCTGTTTGTTCAAATATCTATTGAGTGTCTATGCAGTGCCAGGTGCTAGCACTCTGTGTCTGCTGTCCTCTGAATGATGGTAATAAATTCAACAAAATAAATGTACCAAGTGCACCATGGCTGATCTTAGTGAGATTGTACTCCTATCCTGCAGGTTGATCTAACTCAACAATGATGAGTTGGTCATATTCTATGCACAGGTTCTGTACTGACATCAGGCGCAGCATGGAACAGGACAAGAGTTCAAAAAGCAGGGGGCATGGAGGGAAGCTCAGAGGCTGTGGGGCAGGGCAGGGGGATGCCCAATCTTGCTGCATGCTGAGCAGGTGGTTGGCAGGCACAGGGCAGAAAGAAGCACATGGACTGCAGGGAGCCGCAGTAGCAAGCAAGGCCAAGGCTGCAGGGAGCAGGGCCAACCTCAGAGGCTCAGGAGCCCAACTGTGAGCAAGCAGGTGAGAGCCACTGAATGGTTTAGGGTCAATATTTTAGGGCATTCTGATGACTCGGGTGGAGGGTGGTTACTAAGGGGGTGAGCTGCCCAGAGAGGAAGCCGTGATGAATCCAGATGGTCAAGGTTTGCCCAGGACAGCAGAAGTGGGGTGGAGAGGAAAAGACAGACTCTGAAATGTGGAAAGACCAAATCCAGCCCCCCCCACCGACTGCTGCTACCTCCTCCCTGCCCTTTCCTCCTATCACTACCACCTTCCCATTCTTACCAGCATCTTTCACTATTAGCAAATAATTAAAATCCTTAGCAAACTAAGTATAGAAAGGAACTTATTTTATCTGATAAGGAATATCTACAAAAAAATCCACAGCAAAGATACTCAGTGATAAAATACTGAAAGTTTTCCTCCTTGTTTTGGGATCAAAACAAGGATGACCACTATCCCCCCTCCTATTCAACACTGTTCTAGGCCGGGCATGGTGGCACACACCTGTGATCCCAGCACTTTGAGAGGCCGAGGTAAGAAGATTGCTTGAGCCCAAGAGTTCGAGACCAGCCTGGTCAACATTTCAAGACCTCATCTTTTAAAAAAAAAAAACACCCCCCACCACCACTGTTCTAGAGATCCTAACTTGTGCACTTGTGCAATAGAAAAAAAAAATTTTTTTTGAATTGGAGTCTCACTCTATTGCCCAGGCTGGAGGGCAGCAGCACACTCATGGCCACTGCAGCCTTGACCTGCTGGGGTCGGGTGATCCTTCTACCTCAGCCTTCCAAGTATCTGGAACTACAGGCATGTGCCACCACACCCGGCTAATTTTTTATTTTTATTTTTATTGTAGAGATGAGGTCTCACCAAGTTGCCCAGGCTGATCTCGAACCTGTGGGCTCAGGCAATCTTCTCACCTCGGCTTCCCAAAGTACCTGGCCTAAGAAAATATTTTCATAAGAAATGGAAAGGGTTGGGTGTGGTGGGTTATGCCTGTAATTCCAGTACTTTGGGAGGCTGAGGAGAGAGGATTGCCTGAGCCCAGGGGTTCGAGACTGGCCTGGCCAACTTTGGCATGACCATGTCTCTACAATAAACCAAAAAATTAGCCGAGGATGGTGGCCCGTGCCTGTGGTTCCAGCTACTTGGAAGGCTGAGGCAGAAGGATTGCCAGAGCCCAGCAGGTCAATACTGCGGTGGCCGGGAGCGGCCACTGCACTCCAGCCTGGATGACAGAGTGAGACTCCAAATCAAAAAAAAGAGAAAGAAAGAAATTGAAAGGAAGAAATACAACTGTCATTATTTGAAGAGAATATGATTATGTCCATAAAAATTCCAAAAAATATACACATTACTGGAATTGATATAGGGACTGATCAAGAAACACAATTGTATCAGCAGCAAAAAAATGAAAAACAAAAAAATTTCAAGTGCACTATTTGCAATAGCATAATAAAATGTTAAAAGTAAATATAAGGGGTCGAGCGTGGTAGCTCATGCTTGTAATCTCAGCACTTTGGGAGGCTGAGGTGGAAGAACTGTTTGAGCCCAGACTGGTGTTCAAGTTTGAGATCAGCCTGGGCAACACAGTGAGACCTAATCCGTACAAAAATTTAAAAATATTAGCCAAGTGTACTGGTGCCTGCCAGTAGTCCCAGCTACTCAGGAGGCTGAGGTGGGAGGATCCCCTGAGCCTAGGAAGCTGAGGCTGCTGTGAGTTATGAGTGTGCCACTGCACTCCAACCTGGGTGACAGAGTGAGATCCCAACTCAACTCAAATAAAGTTTTTAAAAAAGAAAGAAAGAAAAAAAATAAATATAAGGAAAGATGTGCATAAATCCCTACACTAAAACTACAATATGCTACTGGGAGAGATTTAAGAAGACCTAAGTAAATGGAGGGATGGGTATACCATGTTAATGGACTGAAAGACTCAGTGTTGTAAAGATGTACATCCTCACCAAATCAGTCTATAGAGTAAATGAAACCAAAACCAAATTCCAGCCAGTTTTAGGAAATTGATACAGTGATTCTAAATGGAAATGCAAATGTCCAAGAATAGCCAAGGTTGGCTTGAGAATAAAGACCAAAGTTTGCCGGGCTTGGTGGCTCAGCCTGTAATCCCGTGCTTTGGGAGGCTGAGGTGAGTGAATTGCCTGAGCCCGCGGGTTCAAGACCCGCCTAGGCAACCTGGCGAGACCTCATCTCTACAATAAAATTAAAAAATTAGCCAGGTGTGGTAGCGCGAGCCTGTAGTTCCAGCTACTTGGAAGGCTGAGGCGGAAGGATTGCCGGAGCCCAGCAGGTCGAGGCTGCGGTGGCCGGGAGCGGCCACTGCACTCCAGTCTGGGTGACAGAGTGAGACGCCAACTCAAAAAAAAACCAAAAAAACAAAAACCCAAAGTTTTAGGACTTACACAGTGAGAAATCTAGCTCTGTCATAAAGCTACAGAGTAAGACACTGGAGATTGGTGGAAGGATAGACCAAAGAATGATGGACCAGCATAGAGTCCAAAAATAGGCCTCCCGCAGTCACTTGATAGACGACAAAGCGGGCACTGTAGGGCAATGGGGAAAAGGATGGACTTTTCTAGAAGTGATGCTGTGTCAATTGGATGTGTATTTGGAGGAAAGGTATCTGAACCCCTACCTCTCACCACACTAGCTCTAAAAGGAGAGCCAATTCCGTTTGTTTGTTTTCTGGCTACAATCTCTCCCCGTGCAGGGATGCGCGTTCCCGCACCTGTCATTACAACTCAGAACGCTAGGCGGCGCCCGCGGTACACCCAGACAGCCAGCTGTCGCTCCCAAGGCAGGGTCTTACGCGAGAGTACTGGTCGGGGACATCCCAAGGCCCAGAGGCCGCCGGGAGTTCCTGTCCCTCCCTGGAGAGATCAGGCCTCCGTGGTCATCAGTTGGAACCTGGGCATGGTCGCTCACATGCCTGAGTGACTTCTGCAAGGTCGTTTACCCACTCATAGAGCTGATTTCCCTTGTGAAACCCAGCGGGATTCCAACCTGGGCGCCACGGGTTAATTACATCCACGTGGGCAAAGTAAGCATCTTCCCACCAGGGAGCCCCTACTTATTTCCAGCTCTGTGCAAAATCTCTTTGAAGTCTCATGTGTTTTATTTTAAGTTTTATATCCGATTTGCATTCTTGTCTCCACCATATCCGTGTTTGTATATAAAAATACATAATATTCGTGCTCACCCAGGGACGCCAAAACAAACAAACAAACAAACAAAAAACCATAATATTTATGTTCTCGAATCCTCGGGAAGGACTTGCTTTGTTTCTTCATTTACTAGGTGGGTGACCTTGGCAGTTGCTCAACCTCTGGAGGGTCCTCATTAGTAAGTCAGGGGAATAATTGTATCGGCCCCACAGGAAAGCAGAGTAAGTAAAATGATGTCAGTGAAGGTGAGCGACCCTTCTTCAAGCAGGAATAACAGCACTGGGAGAAGGAGAATTCCTCCACACCCCACCAAAGCCTCGAGCCCCTGCCAGCTGGCTGGCCAGGGCACTCACCTTTGAGGCGCCCCGTGATGTAGAGGAAGCCGTCGTCATCCAGGCGGCCAGCGTCACCCGTGTGCAGCCAGCCGTCCTCGTCAATGGCCTCACGTGTCTTGTCCTCCATGTTCAGGTAGCCCATGAAGATGGTGCGGCCCCACAGGCAAATCTCACCGATGCCCTCCGCGTCCTGGTTCACCAGCTTCACCAGGCAGCCTGGCACCACCTTGCCCGAGCTGGTGAGGGAGAGGCGGGGAGGCTGGTCAGGGAGAGCCGTGTCCTCCAAACCCCAGGGTCAGCCCCCACTGGGGAGCCAGATCTCCAACCTCTTAGTCTTCACTGATGGCTGGAAGGTGTCCCCTCCCGGGATTTTTGTATTTATTTGTTTTTGAGTCGGGGGTCTCACTCTGACACCCAGGCTCGACTGCAGTGCCATGATCACGACTCACCACAGGCTTGACCACCTGATCCTTCCGCCTCACCCTCCTGAATAGCTGGGACCACAGGTGTGCTCCACTGCACCTGGCTATTTTTAAATTTTGTTTTTTGAGAGACAAGATCTTGCTCTGTTGTCCAGGCTGGTCTGAAACTCCTGGGTGGAAGCAATCCTCTTACCTTAGCCTCCCAAAGTGCTGGGATTACAGGCATGAGCCACTGTGCTCGGCCTAGGTTTTTGTATTTTGATAGGGGTCTTAGAGCTGAAAGGCAGAGCCAGTTGAAGGGTTTTAGGTGAACGAGCGAATACATGAATGAAACCATAATGGTAGAGCTTTAGAGCACTGTGATAGGCTGGCTGGGAGGGGAGTTATTTAAGCACAACAGATGTTCCTTCAAATCACTCCCAGAACTGAGTGCCCTCCCTGCCCACTAGAAGGCTGGCCAGTCCTCCACTGCCATCCTCAGCAGACCCTGGGCCATCCAAGATCCTGGAACACCCTCTAACACATCCCACCCTGCTGGAGGAAGGGAACAAAGAAAAACTGCTCCATCAGGAGAACCCTGTCTGGGGGGCACCTGGGCTGTTCAGGCTGTTTTCCACCATAGACTGACATGACACAGTGGCAGAGACCACCCACAGGACTAAAGAGAAGCAAGGACTTGACCCAAGCTGGCAGTGTCAGCTCTCAGAGCCCCAGAGCACAAGGGAAGGTCTCTGGGACTCAATTGGTGTGCAGAGAGGAGGGTCCCCAGGGCACACGCAGGAGCCCAGAGGGGTTGGGGCCTCACCTGTAGAGCCGGTAGTTGTAGGGGCTGGACATGAAGTGGGGGCCCGAAGTCTCGCTGAGGCCGTAGCCCGCGTACAAGCGAATGTTGAGACCCAGGAAGAAGTGCTGCGTCTCTGCGGTCATGGGGGCTGCCCCGTAGAAGCTCTTCTGGCACTTGGCAAAGCCCAGTGCCTGGCGGACCTTGGCTAGCACCAGGTAATCTGCCAGTCTGGTTGTAAAGGGCTTCAGGTCACTGATGGGAGAGGGAGAATGGTCCATGGGCGAAAACACACACATACACACACACATACACATAAAGGGTGTGTTCAGTGGGTGCACGCTGGCATGGGCATGCCAGCTGTTTGTTCTGATTGGTTGGTGCCAGCGCTGAACCCGTTGTTAACTATAATACTGGACCTGCCCATGAATACACATGGGCCTATCCATGAACATGCATGGACTTGCCTGTGAACACGCAGGGACCTGCCTGTGAACACACATGCAAATGTAGGTGTGCATGCATGTGGTTATGTGCAAACGTGTCTTGAGCCAGGAAGTCAGACAAACAGCTTTAACCATGTCAGGGTGCACAGGCATCACAGAGCATGTAAATTGCATGCACAACAAAACACAGGTGCAGAGGCTTGAAGTGTATATTCATGGACACAAGTGCAAACCTGCATATGATCCCATGAAGCCCACAGTTGCCTTGTTCATGCATATTCACTCTTCATGTCTGTGTAGATGAAGCTGTGGATGCACAGTGTACACATGTCCCACGAAACACACTGTTCCACAGACACACGTGATGGAAATTCCTTCTAAATGGAAACCAGGTCAGACCGATGCCATTGACCTGCCCACAGCTCTATGTGGGAATTTATAAAGCAATCACGAGAGTGTAGGGAGAGATAGGAGTGGTTGCGGTCACTTGGGATACTGTATGGGGCTGGTAAAGCTAAGTCCCCATCATGGTGGCCCCTTCTCTGGCCACCTGCTGAGATCGGGAAGCCTCGGGAGACTGGTTTCTTCATGTCAGAGGAAGCAAGTCAGCCCGCCCAGCCAGAGCCCAAAGATGAAGGGACTGTCCCCAGCAGGGAAGAGGGCAGGTGCTCAAGCCCAGCCATTGACGGGGCCTCTGCACAAGGGTCCCATAAATGATGGGCACTGGAGCCAGGACAAGCTGGCCTGTCACCTCTTTGGTGTGTGCACTAGGTTATGGCCCAGCCCTGCTGCCTCCTGGGGCCCTCTGTACCTGCCAGGGCAGGTGAGGTTCTGCTCCAAGGTCACTGACATGGCCCACAGCAGCATCTTGCGCCGGATGAAGCCCGACTGTGTGGCCACCTGCTGGATGCGCTCCATGATCTTCTCCCACACGCGTGGCACCCCCATGTGGGATGTGGGCTCCACTTCACGCAGTGTGTTCACCAGGCTCCCCTGCACCGCGGGGAGAGGGAGGCCTGCCACTCAGGGCCTGCTGGGTCCCGGAGGCCCCTCTCCCAGAGCTGGAATGCGCACGCTGCACAGGCAGGCCCGCTGCACACAGACACTCTCATGGACGAGCACACGGCCCCTCCCCCCGCACACAATGTGAGCATGCCCATCCCCACTCGCACATGACCTGTGGCACCTGTCACCTCACTCTTCCCTGCTGACAGACCCCTGGTGGCTGCCACACACCAGGTGGCAAGCCTTCGGAAGTACCACATGCCCGTCCCCAGCCCTGGGCATGGGGACTCTTCTTCAGTCTACCTCAAACATGATGATCCCATTCCCCTAAGCAGCATTTGGTTTGGGAACAGGCACATGATACTGTTTGGACCACTGAGATGCAGGGTGGTGGGAAGGCTGCTGAGGAATTTCTGGGAAAATTTTCTTCCCCAGTTATAACAAGAATCCTAGCCAGGCATGGTGACTCACGCCTGTAATCCCAACACTCTGGGAGGTTGAGGCAGAAAGATCACTTGAGGCCAGGAGTTTGAGACCAGGCTGGGCAATATAAAAAGACCTCTTCTCTGTAAAAAAAAGACCTCTTCTCTATAAGAATTAGCTGAGCATGGCTGTGAACACCTGTAGTCCCAGCTACTCAGGAGACTGAGCCAGAAGGATCATCTGAGTCCAGGAGGATGAGGTTGTAGTGAGCCTTGATTGTGCCACTGCACTCCAGCCTGGGCGACAGAATAAGATCCTGACTCAAAAATAAATAAATTAAAAAAATAAGAATCCAAAGAGTAGGTGTGGTCTGTGAGGCTGGGCTGCAGGGAGGGGCTGTGGCCATCTTCACTCTGAGGTCATCCCTCCCTGATGGCATTGCAGACCCAGAGAACACTATGACTGGGTTTGAAATTTCCCTTCTTATTTGAGTCAGGCTGTGCTAATTGCCACTGCCAGGATTCTGGCTGACAAATTCATGGAGATCTGCACACACACGAATGCACACATGAGGCCCACAGACACACTAGGGTGTGCCCTGGCCCAGTCTCGGACGGCCACGCAGCAGAGGCAGACTGACCTTCAGGGCGTCAGGCTCGGCAAAGCACACCTGGGCCCCCCACTGGATGCCTGTCCACAGGTCGTAGATCTGGGCAGCGATGTGGCTGAGCGGCAGATAGCTGACCACCACCTCTTGCTGGACTTCTGCTGGTTGGATGTCACCAGCCTGGCTGCCATAGCGCGCTGTCCATGTGATCTGCAGGACGGGTAGGCGGGCTCAGTGGGGTCCATATGCCAGCCCTGGCAGAGCTCACAACTGTGGGCCCCCTGGGGCTCCCCAGAGTGAGTGCCCTCCCCAGCATCCTCTCAGGCCCTGGAAACCCCCAGGGCAGGCCTTCCCCTCTCATTTGCTGGGCTTGGTCTGGACCACAGGTGGATGGGCCATCTTACTAATTCCAGAACCCTGAGAGGCCAGAGGAGCTTCCTCAAGGGTTACTGGGGCAAGGTCATGGTCCAGATGCACTCACAGCCACCCCCACCTGTCTGGGCATCTGTCTTACGTTGTCTTGACTCAGCATCACACCCTTGGGGGTCCCGGTGGTGCCCGACGTGTAGACCAGCACACAGCACTGGTTGGGATGCTGGGCATGGATGACGGAGTCCAGAGCCTCCTCGGGCACCTCATTCCCCAGCTCCATGAACTCCTCCATCTGCGTCCAGGTGGGGGCAGGTGGGCAGGTCAGTCGACTGGGACCCACCAGGCCCCACCTGGTGCCCAGGACCCCACCACCCATACCGTGTACACATTGGCCATCTTCCTCAGAGGAGGGTCTTTGTATATCACGACTGCCTTTAGATGTGGCAGGTGTTTCCAGATCTGTGTTGATGGGAAAGAGAAATTGGATTTCAACAGGAAAACTGCCACTTCCTGGAAAGAGCCCCACATGTCGACTTGGCAGACACTTTGTGGCAAAAGTCTCCGGGTTCTCTGTTTCCAACCTGTGACCCCAGCAGGACAATGACCACCCTTCATCCGTAGCTTCCCATCATGAAAATGTGGGAACAGAAAAGGTGGGAATAGGAGGTGTGTTGTTGGGGTGGGAAGGGGAGGGAAATGACTTCCTGCTGAAGAAAAGCCACCAAATAACCTGAGACTTGGGTAACAAACTGATCCAGCCACAGAGTGGGGTTGTGGAACTGTGGATGAGCAAAGGCGAGAGGACTAGGGTTCAGAGGGAGAGCATACTAATATAGAATGAGAAGTTGCTAGGATTTATTATTGCTATTATTATTACCATCATCATCATCATTATTGTCAGGGTCTCACTCTGTCACCCAGGCTGGAGTGTAGTGGCACGATCATGGCTCACCACAGCCTCCGCTTCCTGGGTTCAGACGATCCTCCCACCTCAGCCTCCAAAGTAGCTGGGACTACAGGCGCATGCCACCATGCCTGACTAAGTTTTTGATTTTTTTGTAGAGATGAGGTTTTGCTATGTTGCCCTGGCTGGTCTCAGACGCCAGGGCTCAAGCAATCTTCCCACCACGATCTCTCAAAGAGCTGAGATTATAGGCATGAGACACCATGCCTAGTCTCTAGGATATATTAAGTGAATAAGGAATGTATAGAACATGCATATTGTGTGCTCTCTTTGTGTAAGAAAGGGATATTATGTGAATATTTGTGATGTGCACAAGCACATATATGTTCATGTTTACAAAAAGGAACCCTGGAAAGCTTGACCAAAACCCAATTAAGTTGATCATCTATTGGCGGAGAAGGGGAAGAAAGGGAAGAAGAACTGAAGAAAGGGAGCAGAACTTCTTTGAGTAGATCCTATATAATTTTGACTTTAGAATCATGTAAATGTTATAAGAATCTGAAAAACAAAATTATATGAAAAAGGGAAAAAAATAATTTCCTAAAACTTGAAAACAATCTGAAAGGAATGAATTAGACTCTATACCAGGTTGGTGCTATAACCACACACACAGAATTACATCAAGGAGTTTTATAGAGGTGCACTTTGATTTCTACTTCTCAGAGGCATACAGGAGGACCCAAACACCCAAGAATTGTCTTTTGGAGAGTGGGCCCCTCATAGTACAGGATTCCCCTGTTAGGTACCGGTTAGCATTGTTATTAGAGGCTGAATTCAGCTTCAGTTAATTTTTTTGTGGCAAACAGGTGACTGGTTCTTCCACCATGACAATGCACCTGCCCACACCACACTGAGTGTTCAGCAGTTTTTGACCAAAACTGGCGTGACCCCTGTACCCCACCCTCTCTATTCGCCCAATCTTGCCCTGAGCAACTTTTTTTGTTTCCCTGGATGAAAATAGTCTTCAAAGGAAAATGTTTTTGCCTATGTGGAAGAGATGAAACAAAAAATGGCAGAAGCACTAAAAAGCATCAAAATTGACAAGTCCAAAGATTGTACTGCATCAAACAGAAAATACTTTGTAGTTTGAGACCCTTCATTCTGGGGACTCTTCATTGTTTGCATTCCGAAGTCAGTTTTCTCAGTGTCTGCCCTCCTAGGGGTACTCAAAAAATAACAGCTGCTGGAGAGGGTGTGGCGAAAAGGGAACACTTCTACACTGTTGGTGGGAGTGTAAACTAGTGCAACCTCTGTGGAAAGCAGTGTGGCGATTCCTAAAAGCTTTAAATATCAACCTCCCATATGACCCCGCAATCCCCCTACTGGGAATATATCCGGAAGAACTCAAATCACTCTATAAAAAAGATACCTGCACACGTATGTTTATCGCAGCATTGTTCACAATAGCAAGAACCTGGAAGCAACCATGCTGCCCATCAAAAGAGGACTGGATTAAAAAATTTGGTACATATACGTGATGGAATACTACGCAGTCATAAAAAAGAACAAAATCATGAATTTCGCAGCAACCTGGATGGAACTAGAGTCTATAATACTGAGTGACCTCTCACAAAAACAAAGGTCCGAGTATCACATGTTCTCACTCATGTAATGGACCTTGAACATCCAACCTAATACTATAAGAAAATGACTGACAGTAGTGGGAAACTATGGGGGGGGAGGGAGATGGGATTAACGGTAGCAAATATCTGTCTGGGGATGGGGAAGCACCTCTTATCAATAGGGTGCCTGAATGAAACGCATTTGTATACCTAACCCTTAACTGTGTATGAATGGCCACAACATCATAATAAAAAATATTGATTATAAAAAAAAAAGAAAATACTTTGAAGGTGAATGAAGTTTAAACATGTAAGAATAAATACACCATTTTTAATAAATAAATTCCTGGATCTTTTTTGGGTCCCCCCTTGTAAACTCCAAGGGCAAAGGGAATTCCAAACACCATTCAATAGCCTTATTGTTGGGAATAATATTGATGCTACTACTCTGAAATTACTTGATGTGTATCATAAGATTTAGTTAATGTTATTAGGAACCAAAATTTGAAGGTATGATAGAAAAGATGTAAAAAATCAAAGAAAATAAGCTAACACCCCACGGATATATCAGTACGAACTCATGATGATTTTTTTTTCAAATATATTCCTGAGACTTCTGATTCAGGTCACAAGAGAGTAACACTTCTCCTCCCACTATAAAAACTAGAAAACTGGACAAAACATATACAGGAAGTTCCCAATATATAAACAAGCTCCATTCTGAGAGTGCATTTGCAAGTCCAATTTTTTTAAATCCAACAAAGTCAGCCTAGGTACCCAACTAACACAATCAAGTATACAGTATAGAAGGTGTTTAACAGGTTCTGTTGACACCTGGTGGAGAGAAGAAATACATAACAAGATGCACATGTGCATCACTCAAATTCATAACTTGAAGGTTCATATGTAGGGGACTTACTGTAAGCAATTAATTTTAGTCACTGGACCTCAGACTGCTCAGGACTTCATTCCTGAGAGAGGAAAATGGATGAGATAAGTCTCTGAGTGCCCAGATTTTTGCTCATAGGCAATCTCTGGGTTGTGGCAGGGGGTAGGGGTGGGGAGAGACAGAGAGAAAAAAAAAGGAACTACTGAAAACCGGTGATAAAGAAAAAAATATGAAAAGCAACCAGAGAAACAAGACACACTATGTGGAGAGGAACAAAGCTAAGAAATCATAAGACTCCTTGTCAAAAATTATGCAAGCTAGTGACTCAGCCTGTAATCCCAGCACTATGGGAGGCTGAGGCAAATGAATTGCCTGAGCCCGTGAGTTCAAGACCAGCCCAGGCAACTTGGTGAGACCTTGTCTCTACAATAAATAAAAAATTAGCACATGCCTGCAGTTCCAGCTACTTGGAAGGCTGAGGTGGGAGGATCACCTGAGCCCAGCAGGTCGATGCTAGGGTGGCCGTGAGAGTACCACTGCACTCCAGCTAGGGCAAGGAAGTAAGACTCCAACTCAAAACAAACAAACAAACAAACAAACAACTATGCAAGCAAAAAGCACTGTAATAGAATCTTTTTTTTTTGAGCTGGAGTCTCACTCGGTGGCCCAGACTGGAGTGCAGTGGCCGCTCCCGGCCACCGCCGCCTCGCCTGCTGGGCTCCAGCGATCCTTCCGCCTCAGCCTTCCAGGTAGCCGGAATTACAGACATGCGCTACCATGCCCGGTTGATTTTTTTATTTATTGTAGAGATGAGGTCTTGCTGCCCAGGCGGGTCTCAAACCCATGGGCTCAGGCAATCCACTCACCTCAGCCTCCCAAAGGCATGGGATTACAGGTTGAGCCACCGAACCCGGCTTGTAATGGAATCTTTAAAGTGAAGAAAGAAAGGAAGGAAGGAAGGAAGGAAGGAAGGAAGGAAGGAAGGAAGGAAGGAAGGAAGGAAGGAAGGAAGAAAGAAAGAAAGAAAGAAAGAAAGAAAGAAACCCTCTGAACCCAGAATTCTAAGCCCGGAACTCTAATTCTGTAACTGGAACTACAGGCATGCGCCACCATACCCAGCTAATTTTTTCATTTTTATTGTAGAGATGAGGTCTCGCCAAGTTGTCCAGGCTGGTCTCAAACCCATGGGCTCAAGCAATCCTCTCACCTCAGCCTCCCAAAGTGCTGGGATTATAGATGTGAGCCACCGCGCTCCAGCAAGGAAGAACATTTCTTAATGACAAAGGGTTAATTTATCAAGAGAACAGAATAATCTAAATATGTATACGCCTAATAGCAGAGCTCCAAAGCATATGAAGCAAAAACTGATAGAACTAAAAGGAAAAATAGATAAGCCCACAATAATCAGTGGAGATGCTAACACTCCCTTTCTCAGAATCGGGTAGAACAAAGTAGACAGAAAATCAATAGGGACATAGAAGATTTAAACAACACTGCAACACACCAACCAACTTGGCATAATTAACACTGATAGAACATTCTCGCCTACAATTGCAGAATATATGTTCCTTCAAATATGTGAGGAACATTCACCAAAGTTGACCATTATTCTATCACATCTGCCCTGTCCAAACATACCAAAGGGCCCCAGGTGATGAGAGAAAATTCTTCCTTTGGAGAAGAATTCCGGCTGATGAATTAGAAAGTCAACATTTTGCCACTCCTTATGAAATCATTCATTCAGGCAAAGCTCATCGATGGCAGCTAAAACCCTCAAGAGAAAGACTGACAAGGAACTTCACGCTGGAAGGGCATGAGATCCCCGCCTGAATTCACCCATGAAGCCCTGCATGGCTGACATCCCACCTGCCACCGTGCACCTCTTGCCCCAGGAAGTACCTAGTACCACATGGTATGCTCTTGCCAAAAAGATTTCATCTGAAATATGTCAGGTCTTTAGAATTAAACAGAAATATAGAGGCTAGGGGAACAGGTTAAACAGCAGCAAGAAGAAGCAGTCAGACCAATTCAGAACGTGAAAGCTTGTACCAGATGGCTGGCCTGGTTTCTAGGGTGTCTCGGGCAGAGGTTCTCACACCTGAATGTGCATCAGAATCCCCAGAGGGCTTGTGAAACACTGGGCAGTGAGCCCCACACCTTGGGTTTCTGATTCAGCAGGACCTGGGTGCCGCCCAAGAATTTACACTTTTCCCCAGTTCCCAGGTGATGCTAATTTAGGGAACACACGGGTCAATGGCAGGGCTTTGTTCCAAACTAGAAGACCGCGCCATGCAACATGTGGGCCTAGTTTAGCTCCTGATTCAAATAAACCAACTCTATAATAACATTGTGGGCAAAGAGACAGCAGAATGGTGGCTGTCAGGAGGGAGGGGATCGTGTTTAATGAGAACAGAGTTTCAGTTTTGGAGGATGAAGAGCTCTGGAGATGGATAATGGTGATGACTGCACCACTACGTGAATGCACTTAACACCACTGCGCACCTAAAAATAGTTAAGATAGACTGAGTATGGTGGCTCATGCCTGTAATACCAGCACTTTAGGAGGCTGAGACTGCGGGATTGTCTAAGGTCAGGAGTTTGAGACCAGCTTGGGCAACATAGCGAGACCTCATCTCTATAAAAAATATAAAATAGCTAGACGTAATACTGTGTGCCTGTATTCTCAGCTACTGGGGAGGGAGAGGTGGAAGGATCGCTTGAGCCTAGGCAGCAGAGCAAGACCTTGTCTCAAAAAAAAAAAGAAAAAAAGAAATAAAAAGATAGTAAATTTTATGTTATGTATATTTTATCACAATAAAATTGTAGAAAAGACTGTATATTAGATAATATGACATAAATATTTTTCTTGTGCTCTGGGTCTGTTTTTTTGCATATGAAATGGAAAGAGGGGCGTTGGATGGGATGCCTTTTCCTGTCTCTTCAAGTTCTAAAAGTTCCCTGTCTTAAAAAGAACCCTTTCTTTCTTCTCCTGAAAGTCAAGACTTAAACAATATAACAATTTAAAAGCACTCACATGGCGCTATCTGGGTCGAATGTGTCCTCTCAAAAAATATGCCCAAATCCTAACTCTCAAGACCTCAGAATGTAGGTAATCAGGTTAAAACAAAGTTGTTAAGATGGAACCCGGTCCAGTGTGACTAGTGTCCGTTTGAAAAGGGGAAGTCTGGTCACAGAGACACGCACTGAGGGAGGACGACAGGAAGACAAGAAGGGAGGACACCATGTGAAGATGCAGGCAGCGATGGCGGGTGATGTCAAGATTGCCAGGAGCCACCTGTGGGTGGCTCCTTGTAACAACAGCAGCATCAGCTCTGGCAAACTAGCACCCGTGCTCCAAGAGCCAGGCTCCGGTCTAGGAACGACCTTCATGACAACCCTTTAAGGGGCCATGTTGTCGTCACCAGTTTCCCCAGGGCCACACAGCCTCTGAGCTCTGGCAGACCAGCCCAAGTGTGTAGGTTTCTCCACTTGCCTACATCACCTCTCGGTTTGAACCCTGTCACCAAGCCTTTGTGCGTCTATCCCGGGCCGCTCTAGGGTCTTCCCGGGGTCTCTTTTGACCTTGTTGTGAGCCAGAAGTTCTTGACTTTGGCTGCTCAGAGCTTCACCTGAGGGAGCTTTTAGCCCTGAGGACTGTGTGCTGCCCTGCTAGAACCCGCGTGCCCAAGCTTGCTTTGTTCTTTCAGGCTTCGGGAGACTTCTCCGCTAGACATGAGGGGAGGCATCTGCTCTGGCCTCTCTGGGAATCCAGGTGCCACAGTCCTGGAAGGTCAGAGATCCCTGGCTCCGTTCTCAGATACAGATGGGGAGGAGGGGTCCGGGTGACATCCCTAGAATCAGAGGCAAGCCAACAAGGCAATCCTGGAAGCCTCTTTTCGGCTACTGGGAGCTCTGGAGCACCCCATAGGCTGTTGGGTGCACCTGGGACATGCAGGTGTGTGTGGGGACAGAACCAGTCAAGGGCGTGCCTTAAAAGAAATCAGGAGGCCTTGTCAATGTTCCCGAAAAGACCTCGCTGGCTCAAGAGTCACTCTCAAGCTCCTGCTCTGCCCCCATTGCCTCCAACTTGGGTCAACCCTCACCCCCACTCGGACTTGAATGCTCAAGGTATCAGAGCCTTGAGCCACCTGCGCGCACACGGCTCTTGCACTGGTAGAGGACCCCAGCCCCCACAGATGTAGGCGTGAGAGTAGGCGAAAGCCATGGGAGGCGGTGGGCTGGACGGGGGACCTAGCCCAAGGTCCTGCCACTCACTTCTTGGGTGACCTGAGACACGTTCCTTGAACTTCAATTTCCTGACCTGGTAAATGGGTAGGTAACCATTGCCCTGCCTCACTTGACATATGTATGTGCGCATGCGCTCGAGATGGGGGGGAGGTGCTGTTGAGAATAAGGGGTGGCTCAGGGCGAGAGAGCAGGAGGTCCTGTGTGAGTTGGCGTGGAGGCACATAAGGACACCCGGCCTCTGACCCGTGTCCACTGTCCCTTTCCCAAACCTTCAGAATCTTTTCCAGCTGCTTCTGCGTGTCGACCATGATGACATTGGCGCGGCAGTCATGGGCAATGTACTGGCAGGCCTCGGGGGAGCTGGTCGTGTAGATGCCAGTGACGATGCCACTACAGGAGACCCGGGAGGAGTGTCAGGCAGAGGGCCACCCTCTTGCCCCTACCCCTACATCTGTAGTCGCCAGAGAGTCCCCACAGCCCGAGCAGGCAGGGCTCCCTTCCACCCTGCATGGCTGCCCCAGCAGAGTGGGCACCAGAGGCAGGCCCAGGCCCCAGGGAAGAGGTGGTATGTTGGGGGGAAAGAGGGGGACCTCCAGAAAGAGAGAACCACCCTCTCCTACCCTCTACCCACCACCAACCCCTCCTCCAGCCACTCACCCTGCAAACACCGTGCCCACGGCGGAGAAAAACCACTCCGGGGAGTTGAAGCCGAGGATGGCCACACTGTGCACCCGCTCCAGGCCGAGCTCCAGGCCAAAGGCAGACAGGCCAGGTCAGCTGGATAGGGAAGGGGCCCTCACTCCCCTAGGGCCACATCCAGACTGAAGGGGACCCACCCTCCCAGGAGCCACCCGGTCAGAGTCCCCAAGGAGAGGTCAGCACTTAGGAGCCCTTGCTGCCCCCTCCAGGGCCTTCTAAGCCCCTCAGCCCAGCACACCAGGCTTCCCAGCCACCCTGAATATGGCAGCCTGTGCAAAGCTTGTACCAAGTGCTTGGCACACAGTAAGGGCTCAGTACAATGCAAACTCCTCCATGCAGGGCCTGGCACATAGTACCAGCCCAGCGAATGGCGGTGGTCTTACGGTTACTGTCTCATTTCTTTTCTTTTCTTTTTTTTTGAGTCAGAGTCTCACTCTATTGCCCAGGCTGGAGTGCAGTGGCACACTCACGGCCACCACAGTCTTGACCCACTGGGCTCAGGCTATCCTTCCACCTCAGCCTTCCAAGTAGCTGAAACCACAGGCATGTGCCACCACACCCAGCTAATTTTTTGGCTTAGTGTAGAGACGAGGTCTCGCCAAGTTGCACAGGCTGGACTCGAACCCATCAGGCAATCCTCTCTCCTCTGCCTCCTAAAGTGCTGGGATTACAGGTGTGAGCCACCATGCCCGGCCTACAGTTACTGTTTCTGAGGGCCTTGTCCGGCAGGGAGTTGGCGCACAGCCCGTAAGGGCCTAGGGCTGCAAGACAGGTCCAGGGAGGTGGGAGGCCATGCCTCGAAGGGCCCCTCACCTTCAGGAAGCCCTTGGCGGCTCTGCGAGCAAGCAGGTAGTACTGAGAATAGGAGATGTGCTCCCACTTATCCTGGCGCTTGAAGCCCAGTGCGCTGAGGTTCCCGTACTTGTCCAGGGCCTCGTAGAACATCTGATGCACCGTGTAAGGCAGCTGGGGGCAGCTGGGGTCAATGCGCAGGCGCACACATCCATCAGCCCGTGTTGTCCACAGGGCCTCCTCTGCAGGAAGAGACCACAGCTTGCAGCGTGCCAGCCTGAGGCTGTCCCCAGGGGACTCCAACCCTGCCCTGGGCAGAGTTCCCAGCCCTGCTAGTGCTAACAATGTCTTGATTGCCAAGCTATGGGGCTGGCAGGCAAGCCAGAAGGTGGGGTAGGCTGGGAGGCTGCCTAGAGGAGGAGGTCTGCCTTGGCTTTGAAGGATGAGCAAATCTTCAGACGCAGCAAGAAAGAGGAGAGGGATAGCTGGGGGAGGGGTGGAGGTCCTAGAAATGCAGGGCTCCTAGACCTGTCCTGCTTTTATTCTAGCTGGGATTTGCATCCCCCCCCAGGGTTGACTAATGGAGTTTGGTCAGATCTCCAGGTGCCTTCAGGGTTTCTGCCCTTCCTCTGCCTCCCGGGGAGGGGACAGACCCAACTGGACAGGTTGAAGGATCCAAGGGAACAGCCCTCCCAAGGGTCTGGGGGAACCTGAAAGCCAGCAGGCCCGGGTCTCCAGCATGGAAAGTCTTCAGTCCCGGAAAATAGCAATATTCTCCCTCCCCTGGTACCTCATTTAGACTTCACAGCATGGGTTTGGGTAGCCTCGTTTCACAGACAGGGCAGCTGCAGTTCAGAGAGGTTCAATCATTTTCCCAAGGTCACACATCATGCAGTGAAGAGTCAGGATTCAAACTCAGTTGTGCCTGATGCCACCGCTCACCCTTGGGGCACTGTCTGGGGCACCACCCAGCTGTTAAGGGCCAAGCAGCTTTCTCTGTGTGTGGTGGGTGGGGACAGGAACTTACACTTAGTATGCAAGTCTTGGGACAAGCCACGGAACCGCTAAGTGCTTCCTCAGGGGAAAGACAAGGATTCAGTTCTCGGGGTGGATATGAGGTTCGAAAGAAATGCTGTATCTGAAGATATCTTGGCATACAGTGGTGCTCAATAAATGCATATTTTCCTTGTCCCTTTCCCCCCCCCAAGTTCTCTAAATTGTTTGCAAAGAAAACTCAGGTGGGTGGTCTGGACCTTTGCACCATAGGGCCTCCTTTCCCTGGGGCAAGGGTGGTTGTTCTAAGGTGACAGAGGAAAGGTATTGCTGGCCAGGACAAGTGGGGTTGCCTTGCCACTTGCTGGCCAGATCCACTTGATCGGTTGTCCTGTCCTTGGTCCTTCCCTGGGATGGATGGAGGGACTAGAAGACATTGGCCCTCCCCTTTGACACTTAGGCTGCATGTGAGCTCTGAGCTTGGCAGGAAGAGGTGAGGACCTTGGGCCTGGGACAGGAGAGCCAGCAGCTGGGACGAGGGGGGCATGTCCAGAGGGGGGACAGCAGAAGGGGACACGGCAGCCTGAGGAAAATTCAGGCTGTACCAGGGGAGGGCGCCAGGGAGAGAGTTGGGAGTATTGGTAGAGATCAAGACCATGCTGGCTGGCATCCACTGCCCCTCCCAGCAGAGATGGCCCCTGCCTGGAGCCCTGTGCCCTCCCAGTGGAGTACTGAGCCAAGGGCCACGGAGCCCCCTGCCGCCACTCCTCAGACTACCCCAAGCCCTGCCCTCACACCCCGGGACCCTGGCCTGACCCCATTGCTCCCCCTCCTCAGAACCTCCAACCTCTGCACTTTGCTAAAGTCTGTGGCCAGAGCAGAAAGTCAGGTACCCCAGGGCTCAAAACCTCGATTTTGCCACCACCCTTTGTGTGACCTGACAAGTCATCCTCCTCCCAGCCGAATTCTAATCATCTACAAATGCGGCTAGTGGTGGAGGGCAAGGATGTGAGAACACCAGACCCTCATATGGTGCTGGCGGGAACGTGAGGTGATCAACCACGTTGGAAGACAGTCGAGCAGTTTCTTAAAGACTTAGATGTGCTGAGGTGAGTGGATTGCCTGAGCCCGCGGGTTTGAGACCAGCCTGGGCAGCGAGACCTCATCTCTACAATAAATCAAAAAATCAGCCGGGCGTGGTAGCGCATGCCTGTAATTCCAGCTACTTGGAAGGCTGAGGCGGATCGCCGGAGCCCAGCAGGTCAAGGCTGCGGTGGCTGGGAGTGGCCACTGCACTCCAGTCTGGCAACCGAGTGAGACTCCGACTCAAAAAAAAAAAAAAAAAGACAGATGTAAATTGCTCCTATGACCCAGCAGCCCCACTTTTAGGGATATACCCGAGACACACAAACACGTGTCCCCACGAAGACGTGCATATGGGTGTTCATAGCAGCAGTATTTATCATCGTCAGAAAGTAGAAACAGCCCACGTGTCCACCTACTGGTGAATGAAAAACCAAGATGTGGATTTGCTGTTGCTTTGTTAAGCACTAGTCAGACCATGTGTTCTTTGAGCTATGGCTGCCATGTTTTCTTAGCTTTGGCCCCTCCCCTACCTTGGAGAGGTGAATCTCCTCTCTCTAATTTACTTTCTAAATAAACTATATTTTCCAATTTATAAAAAACAAGATGTGGTCTATCCATAAAGGGAACTACAACTCCTCCCTGAAAATGAACAAAGTACTGACCTGGGCTACAACACAGATGATACGCAAAGATGTGCTCAAGGAAAGGAGCCAGCGGCAAAAGACCACGTGCTACACGACTCCATTTACATGAGGTATCCAGAAAAGACACAAAGCAGATTAGTGGTTGTCCCAGGTTGGGGGTGGGAATGGGGAGCGACCACGCAATGGGCATGAGGGATCTTTCTGTGATGACAGGAATGTCCTAACACTGGATTGTGGAGATGTTTGTGCAACTCTGAAGATTTCCTAAAAAGTATTGAACTGTGCACTTAAGAGGAGTAAATTTGATGACATCTAAATTATATCTCTATGAAGCTGCTTAAAGAATAATAGGAGGGGCCAGGAGCAGTGGCTCATGCCTATAATCTCAGCACTTTTGAAGGCCAAGATGGGAGAATCGCTTAAGCCCTGGAGTTTGAGACCAGCCTGGGCAGCATGGCAAGACCTCATCTCTACAGAAAAATTTTTAAAAATGTAGGTGGGCGTGTCATGCCCACCGGTAGTCCCAGCTACTCGGGAGGCTAAGACCAAAGAATCACCTGAGCCCAGGAGGTCGAGGCTGTGGTGAGCTGTGATCATGCCATCAAGCACCAACCTGGGCAACAGTGAGACCCCAACTCAAAAATTAGTAATAATAGGAGGAAGAATGTCGGCCTCCCAGAGAGGTGGAAGGATCTCATGCGATGGCCCAAACAGCAAGCCTAGGACCTGGCAGATGTTGCTGATCCGTGGCTGTTAGCTCTGTTCCCTCCCAGCACAGGTTTATCCTGGGGCCTGGATTAGGAAAGGCAGCTTTCTCCTGTGGACACTTCTAGAAGCTCAGGCTCCACTGCATCCACCTATTCACCCAGGTTGCCAATAAGAGCAGAGGCCATTCTTGTGATCCATTGCTACAGCTTCCCTCTAGTCTAATGTTTTAACCTGAACATTTATAATCTTTTTCTAACAACCAAAAAAGCATGCTTGTTCCAAGAAATACAAAACAATGTAGAAGTCCACGATACAAAAGGTGATAGGCTCTCCTTACGTAAAGATACATACAAGGAGCTAAGTTTTATTTTGTGATTTCAGTTGCTTTTTTACAAAAAGAAAGGGGAAAGATCATGTTATTAGTGTATTAATCAAGGGTAGCAAACCCCAAATGGGACCAGGCAGGTAGTATCTCAGCATCATAATAAATAATACATAATAATAAATAATAAGTGAATGAAGTGCCTCAGGATTTGCAAGTGAAATCCAGGGACACAGTCATCTTTCCACAAAGAAATAAGCTTCCTGTCACTTGCCTGGAGACACATGTCCTCAGAGCTCACCTTTTGTTCCTCTGTTTTTGATAGACACTAATAGTGCAATATTTATCTATTACGGGAAAAGCTACAGGCCAGAGGTGGTGGCTCACACCTGTAATTCCAGCACTTTGGGAGACTGAGGTAGGAGGATTACTTGTGCCCAGGAGTTTGAGACCAACCTGGACAACATAGCGAGACTCCATCTCTATGAAAAATTTAAAAAATCAACTGGGCTGGTGACATGCATCTGTAGTCTCAGCTACTTGGGAGGCTGAGGCAGAAGGATCAATTGATCCCAAAAAGTCAAGACTGTGGTGAGCCATGATTGTGCCACTGCCCTTCTGCCTAGGTAAAAGAGTGAGATCCTGACTCAAGAATTAAAAAAAAAAGAAAAGAAAAGCTACAAAGCTCAAGAGATCTATTGTACAACACAGTGACTATAGTTAATAACATATATTGCATTCTTCAAAATCGCTAAGAGATTTTATTTTTCTCACCAAGAAAAAAGATATGTGAAGTAATGCATATGCAAATTAGCCTGCTTTAGCCATTCCATAATGTGTTCATATTCAATATTATTATTTTTCTTTTTTACAGACGAGGTCTTGCTTATGTTGCCAGCCTGGCCTCAAACTCCTGGCCTCCAGTATCCTCCCACCTCACTCTCCCAAAGTGCTGGGATGACAGGTATGAGCCACCATAATACATATGTAGCCACCTGTATACATACTTCAAAACAACATCCTGTATATGATATATACATACAATTTTTATGTCAATTAAGTAATTAATTTTAGATTTCAAAAAAGGAAATCTACGATACAAGGGCAGTGATAATTGTACAGAGCCCAGTCTCGGCATCAGGAAGGCAATAGGGAGTGGTGGGAACTGTGGCCGAGGGAGAATGCATGCTTCACCCAAAGGGGGCAGCCACCCTTGGATCTAGGATTTAGTACCTGGTAGGAATGGAGAGCAAGAGTTACCAGAAATTTGGGTGCTTGCCTTTACAAAAAATTTAATATTTTTATTTCAGCATTTTAAAAAACGATATGAACCAAATGAAACGTAGCCATCTGCCAAATCACCCATCTTTAATTTAGTGACATAAACATGTCTCTTGCTGTGCATGTGTGTTGTGCTGTGTGGCTGCATAGTACTCCATAGTTTGGCATAATTCACTCCACCACTCCCCACTGAAGGACACTCAAATGA